TATTGCCGCACAATCCATCAATAAATTGGGAGTATTTCTTTTTCCCAAACTTGAAAATATGGCTCGATGGTAAAGGATTTGTCTGTGATTGATGGCTATTTGGAGGAGCTAGACTCTTTCTCTCTATAAACGGGGCATCGTAAGGTGTGTTGTGATTTGTGGATCAATGTATAAATCTTGGTAATGCAAATACAAGAATGTAGCAATTGGGTTTGCAAAATTCTTTCTAAAATAGGCAATAAACATTAAACTGTTCTCCCTTCTACTATATATCGAACAATTACTTAAAAAATATCTGCATCTCGTAATCTCTAAATGAAGGGGGAAGAACTGATTTATACGATTTCAGCGGCACAATTTTAGTTGTCCCTTGCGCTCCTTTACATTATAAACGTATAATTTTCTTGTAGTGCTTTTTTTTGCAGCCACTACTGGCATCATCAATGGCGTTATCGATGTTGTTGATGTTGTTGTTGTGGCTGCTGCTGCCTTCATCCAATGTGTATTGATTATTCTTTATTTCTTCATTTTGTTTGCCATTTTGTTGACATTGTTGTTAGCGTTAGTGTTGTTGATGTTGTTGTTGTTGTTGTAGGTCCCCTATAGCTATTGCTGTTACCACTGCTGTGGTGTTCTTGTTGCTTGGCTTAAGCACATTCGTGCCCCATACAGCATGTGGAAAGCTTAGGGGCAGCAGGTCTGCCGCCCCGCAGTCTTTGCTCTCAGCTTTAGTTTTTCTGTTCCGCTCCACATGCTGTGCCTTAGTCCTTCTGGGTTCGCGGGCCAAGGCACGCACGAACGCACAAACACAACAGAATCTATAGCCTGCAGAATACACCCAAACCATAACAAACACCCATCCACCCACACCCACACACACACACACATTCCCATTTGCATGACAACTGTTGATAGTCCGAGGCACAGAGGATTGGCCAGTTAGTAAACGAATTGATGGATGGATATACCTTAATAAATTGAGGGTTGTATCTGATGGTGGTGGTAGTGGTGGTGGTGGGGATTCACCCAATTAGGGAGCTCAATTAATGCATCTACTCTAGCCAATTAGCTGGCAAGCAATTCCTTCACATAACACTCATAACAGATATACAACTAGGTCTTGTCATGATTTCTGAGAAACGCATCAGCTTATCCGATTTAAGTAGGAAGACTAACTCATACATATTTATATTATTATCATTAGTTTCTTGAATTGATGTGCACTTAATGCATCGACTCTAGCCAATTAGCGCTTGCAAGCAATTCATTCACATAACATTTCAGTGATATCAGCTTATTCCAATAATATAGAAAACTAATTGATAAGAAAAGCCACTCATATTTACATCATTAGTTAATTGAAAAATCAAATATTTTTTGGTAACATGCAACAAATTTAAATAAATATGGAATGTTGCAGTGCTAGTGAGTTACCAGAACATTTAAGAAAGTGTCAATATTCTGCTATTCGTGAGATTTCGCACTATTCGAAGAAAAGAGTTTTTTGTTGACTGACAAAGCCATTTAATAATTTGGTGACCCCACTAGAATTCTAAGCTGAAATTATGTTTGATGATTATCGACGGTTATAGTGCACGACGCAAGAAAATTGGATGTTCCAGAAAGTGAAGAAGATAAAATATTCAAATATTTGTCCTTCTAATCGGAGAGTGTTCTTCTGCTTTGTTGAACTGGCTAAAGCTTAACAATTATTTCAGATGATTATCAAATTATATTTTTCTATATAGACCACAGAAAAAGGCTTCTACATACATTCGCTTCTAGTATCATCTTGGGTTACCTTGCCTTTTCCAATTGTTGTCAAATGCCTTGCCAAAAATAGCTTTTGCTGGACATTTCAGTAGCCATCATAAAATTCAGCTGCTTAGGCTTATTCTTTTATAGCGAGAACGCAATTTTAAGACAATTCCAAATGACTGAAAAGTAAATAACTAAGATAGCAAGCATTCCTGTAACGATGATGTAACTAATACCAATGGGCTGTCTAATGCAGACTTGACACGCACAGCTTTGGCTATATAATGAAATTCCATATTCTATTTATAAAATATCAGAGGTATTTCGCTAAGCTGTTTTACGTTCGATTAATAAAACATGAGTAATGGGAAAAGCTTCAATCAGAATAGACCACAATAGTTGGCCTTCTAAGGAACAACAATGCAGTTTATCGAATGCAGAAGTAAGTAAATTATAAGGTATATAGAGAATAAAGCGCCCACACACAAAAACACACAAGCAGAAAACACACACCCACACAGACAGACGACACCACCATAGATGATGATGATGGTCGGCCATTTTGTCAGAGCCGGGCATAAACCGCAGCGTTGTAAAATTGCCAACGCAATAGCCAACCACAAAATCACATGCACGCACTCGCACAGGCAGGCAGGCAGGCAGGCACGCAAGGACATACGAGCAGAGCAACAGTGTGCGGTTAGGTCAGCATGGAGGACAAAACATCGTGTCGACGAATAATCCTTCTTCCTGTATATTTACTGGCTCGTGTTGCTGGCCTGGTCTGGCCTGGCCTGGCCTGGCCTGGCTCAGCATCTCAGCAACTCTGACCCAAATGTTGCAATTTTTCGTCTATGGCATTCAGGCAACGTTGTCACATCCTGTAACCAACATCATTATCACCATCATCAATGGAATGGAATATCGGCAGCAGTCCATTGTTGTCAATCTATTTAGTGTTCGCTGCTGAACTGAACACTCCGAGTTTAGCTGCGAAAACATGGCAACAATAGCCACAGCACAAAGCGCACATAACTTGTCGCATCGCATCCAAAAAACGAAGCAGCGCGTTGGCTTGGAATGGAATTGGTTCGTCCTTAGGCCAGGCGCAGTAAAATTATTGGACAAGCAAGCTATTTAACAATGCTATTTTGGTATTTCTTAGCCAGAAGTACAAATTGAAAGGTAGACGAACTACTATTTACTCGTTAATTTAAAATAAAATCACAGAAACAGACCGTTTCAATAGCTCTGCTTGCTTTCATAGAGCCTTTTATCCAAATTAACCAAATTCCAAAACGCAAGAAACTCACGCGATAGCTTGTGAGAAAAAATGAATCCTAATTGAGGGAGATCTTCGAATTGAGTATTAAATTCTGCAACCCATTTGGATTTTTGATTATTTTTCGAAATGGTTAACTGATCTTTTTTCGCACTGCACCCGCCGAAGGGTGAAAAGGTATATCAGAAATTCTTAACGCCACATTCTAAAGATATATACACATATGATCAGCATGACGATTCAAATCAAAATAGACATGCACGTTCATCTGTGTGTCTGTCCATGCGTATGAACATCGAAAACTGCTACGAACACCCATCTTGGAATATATAAGGTAGACTTGTATGGTTAGGACAAAGCTAGTTTATTGCCAACCATATCTAGCTCCAATTTTATATATAGCTGTAGTGCAAAAATGACAAAAATGTTTCAGTTTTTTATGGTGCCTCATAATACTCTGACGTTTTATGACAATCGCTTCACTATATGGTAAGTAGTTTTAGTTTAAGGACTGTTGGACTGGTGAGACTGAAACTATGTTTTTGTTGCATATTTATCTAATTTTTAAAGTATTTTTTATCTACTGCCTAATACATATCCCTTTAGCAACTTAAAATACCAAAGACGGTTCACCAAAAAAAAATTTGAGAAAACTGCCCAAAAGTCTGGAAGAGTTCACCAAACTTTATACTAAATCTAGAAATCCAACATGTAATCTATTATTGGTTGCATTTTATGATTATTTTCAATGGCTTATATGATTAAAGCTGCATCTAGTTTTACAAAAATAAGCAAGCATACATATATTTATTTCTTTAGAGCACATATCGTTCAATGACGCGCTTTCGTAATGGTCTCATTATAAGTACTAGATTAAAAATAACTAGACTAGATCAACAGCTTTTCAGCTGAAGAGTGCAAGGTTATACTAAAAAGTCTTCTCCACAAAGCCTAGTTATTTCAGTTGGTGATCGGCTTAAAGAAATTAAATTCGTTTATGATTACATTCTGAAGTTCAACCGAAATCTGTGCTGCCGATAAAGTTTATTTTATTTGAAGGGCAGCAGAATCCTCGACAGCTTTTTTGTTCTTCTCGTCCTCATGCATGTCATCCAGTTTTGCATCAAAAACTGAATTAATGTTACCTACTGCTGGCAACAGGATGTGAAGGTGTGAGAAATGCACTCTACTGTTTCCACTGGCATTTTAGACAAAACACATTCCTAATTAAATTACTTCGCATGCTACAGATATTTTTCCTTCTCTTCTTGTAGCGAAACAAAGGCAAATTGAATTTTCGTCACTTCCTACCACCACTGGCAGTGCATTGCAAATATTTTCGACCAATAAATTCAAATCCTGCTCTGTCGTGCATATCAGTATTCTGCGGCAAACAATACTTTATATTGGTTCTTACTTCATCGATGGAATGCCATGCAATTAGCTCTCTCGTACACACTCGTACTCGTATATGGAATTTTGCATCCTTCATCCATCCATCTAGTGCCATTCACCTGCCCGAGGTCCTCAAACAAGTTGCATGCATTTATGTATCTAAAGTGCAGCTATCGGGCAATTTTTGTGAAAAGAAAATGCATGTTTCTGGCGCTTGTATTGCATTTCATCGACACCCGCCCGCCCCCTTAATCAGAGCAGAGGAGAGCAGAGCAACGCTTTTTGTCTTCTATTACAGCAAATCAGGATAATTGGCATGCTGTTGCTGCCCTTGCTTTCCCTATCCTATGTTTTCCTACTCTTTCACACTGCTGCCGTCTATGGTTTGCGTTGCTTACTGCTGTTGCTGTTGCTTTTGCTTCTGGTGATGGTGCACAACAAAAGCTTTTATAATCCTCAACACCTGTTGTATGCATACAGATTTTCCCCCATCGTCCCCCACACGCACGCTTTATAGTGAAACCTTCCCGACACACACCCCATAGTATTTAATAATCAGGCTTACCTTTTCAATGTTGTATTTCTCCAATGCTTGTGTCGCACAATCCACAGCATCCTGCTGCATCTCCTCGCTCATATCAGCATTCTTAATGACAGCTTTGCGATCAGACATTTTTGCTGTTTTGGATTTTTTTTGTTTTGTTGTAGCTGCTGCTGTTGCTGGTGCTTGACTGGTATTTGTTTAGCTTCTTGGTCGCTATTTATTAATATTTGCACTGATTTATGCGTTTAGTCGATGATTCAAGAGCTCTGTAATGAAAGAGAGAGAGAAAGAGGAAAGCTGCATGGTGGACATGCATGGAAAAATTGTCCATTAATAACGACGCAAAAGCAAATCTATATAGGTATGTGTACATACGTGTATTTCATATTAATTAGTGGGTGTTTTGCTTATTCTATGCCAACAAAGGATTTCATTAACTTTTAAAGGGACTGCTGTGGTTGTTGTTGCTGTTGCTGTCATGGCAACTGCAGCTGCTGACCCATGTGGTGGCCATAAATGCAGCAACGAACGATGGTGTGGCTGAGGTCGAGGCAGTGGCAACGTTCCTGCCTGCAGCCATGACAATCAAAAGCTTAATATAGTTTGCAGCATGAGCGCACAGATACATGCATACATATATACGTACATATGTATGCATGTGTGTATGTGTGTGTGTGTCTATATATATATATATAAGCATAACGCAATTTGAGTTGCAGCTGGGCATACGCAGGCGCAATGAAAAGCCCGGGCCGAAGCAAGCATACCAAAAACAACAACAGCCGCACCAAAATAACAACAACACCAACGGTAGCTGCATATCAAAAATTATTTAAAAGAATTATAGCATACTTTTTGGGACACGACGCCACGCAGTAAACAGAAACGACAGCGCGCTGGCTTTGTGGTGAGGCGATGGACGCCATCAGCCAGCAGGAAAATTTAATTATAGACGACTACGATGACAGCACAACATTGCAAATCAAATATCAGAGTCATGGACAACATATTAATAAGTTTACAAACACACGCCCAGGGAGACAGACCACAGCACAAAGAGAGACGCCCACACACAACAATTAGCGTGCAATGTAATGCCACAGCGCAAGAGAGAGGGAGAAAGACAGTGCGAGAGTGAGTGAGAGTGTGCGAGCGCGCTTGAGAAGAGAGCGGTGCATTCATACTGGTGGCCTTGTCTGTTGGAAGGGAGCGCTGCTGCAACAGCAACAGCAACAACAACAGTAGCAGCAGAAGCAGCAGCAACAGCTTCAGCATCAGAAGTGGCGACGACATTCAAAATGGGAGAATACCACAGAATACCAAGGACAAAAGCAGCTAAAATGTAGCAAGGAAGAGAGCAAGAGCATGAGAGATGGGAGAGTGGGGAGAGTGGAGGAGGAACGTGTACGACGTAATTCAAATTCAAGGCAACCTATGCAGACAACACACCAAACACAGCACAGACATGAGAAACATTTTCAGAGCTGCTTCGTATTTGAACAAATAAATATTGCATACTTGTCTAACATTATGCTTATGGCACACAAATGGACTATAATCATTGTTATTCCTGTTCATGTTCTTGCTGTTGTGTGTTGCTCATCTTCTCTATGCATTCAACTTTTCATTGCATACTTTTTAGGGCACTTGCATATTTACAAAAGCCAGAAATAAAATGGATGAATAGTTGAAGCCATGTTTCTGTGTGCCTGCCTTAGATCTAAGCAACACATTTTATGGATGAAGGGAGCAGCAGCAACAGCAGCAACAGCAGCAGCAGGACTAGCCACAGGACTGGCCACAGTCAAACCTCACTTTCTGCTACACCTAACTAGCCTCAGATTGAGAAACTAGAGCTGGCCAGAAATGCGAGTTTATTTAAAGCTTTCGGTTCGCTAATTGTGAAAAGAATCAAATACTTTTTAGGGGATTAGCTGGCACTTTAAAGGCAAAGTAAATATAATTCGAACTTATATAGCTTCGAATTTATAAAATGTTATCTTATTTTAACCAATTAGTACTGCAGTAATTGTATGATTACAGGTCCAGTAATATGACATTATCACAGATGTAAGCATTTAGAACACATAATGTTTTCTAATTTTTTCGGGTTAAATGAGTTGAGACGGCTCCCAATTTGTGAAAGTTCATTAGTCATTATTCGAAGGCCTCTTTAGTCGGAAGTAACAAATTGTATCAGTCTAAGATAAAAAGAGAGCTGTCTTGTTCTGTTCTATTAATCAACAAAGTGCAGTTCGACAAATTAATTTTTCAAATTTCTTCTTTTGAGTTATTTGAGGCATCCTGTAGACTTAAATAGGGGCTCCTTAATCATAATTAAATTGGCGCAGATTGCTGATCTCTGATGAAAAGCAGCGTACTGGTTCCAAACAGCTAACAAATACCCGAGAACTTTTGTTCAACGAACAAAACGAACACAACTCCATTCAGTTGTTGTGCTGCTTGTTCAGATTTCTCAGGTGGCAAAACCGCACAAGACCAAACCAAAGTTGTCCCATCATGTTGAACAAAATGGGCGCCTAGCCATGAGTGAAAACTGCAAACTCGCATACACACACACACACACATCTACATATATAATCCAAAATGCAATTCGAAATGCACACAGCGGGCCCAAGTGAGAGGGTGAAAAACCACAGACAAACTACAACCACAAACAGGCCATAGCTAGAGCAGTAACAGCAACAGCAACAGCAACAACAACAACAACAGCAACAATAGCAATAGACACAGACACACAACAAGCTGGGCCAAGTGTGCTCGACATTTGTATGCACACTCTGAGCTGCTATCCCTACCGCTCCCCCCCCCCCCCCCCCCCCCCCTTCGACCACTCTCTATACACGTCGCATCAAACCAATAGACGAACACAACAAAACAAAACAAAAACTGGACTCAGTGAACTGTCTTTCAGAGCTTTAGTTTTCTTTCTACCTTCCCGCTTTGAATGCTGCATATTCTGTGCGAGATTTTGTTTTCAATTCTCTGGCCAAGCGCACAAAAGTTACGCTGCCATGGCAATTTGTTTCGAAGCATTTTGATAAGGTGTACCAACCGAACCAGTACCCCCAAGAAGCAACACAACAGCAACAAAAACGCTGCGCTGTTATTGATATTGCAGCGCGTTTTCTAATCCATTGCATACTTGTGGAGGCCACCTTCCACCACTTAGCGCAAAACAGACGCGACTGTTAAATTGTGAACAGAAACAGAAGTGCCTACTCTTCGATGCTCTCCGAGGAATCCGGCCGAGGCCAGCATTCGAACACACCCTTCCTTCCTTCCTTCCATCCTTTCCTTTCCTTTTTTTTTCTACCAGCCTCCTCCCACTTTTCTTCTCTAACTCTCTATAAGTTGGCGATGCAAACGGAAATGCCAAAATGGTAAGCAGGAAATGCTGTTAAGAGCTTGGCCACTGCTGCATAAAATAGGCAAAGCAAAACAAGCTTAACAACACCCACAACAACAATAGCAACAACAACAATAAGGACAAAAACGACAAATACGAAACACCCTCTGTACATGTTTTATGGTTCGTAAGTATATGCCTAGGTTGCTGGCATAAAATAAAGCACACAAATAAAAATATGGAAAGTAGCCACAATACACATTTCGACACAACCAAATAGTTACATCCAACAAGTTATGGCTTGACAGCAATACATACTATATCCTCATGATATTCTTGAAGTACATATATCTTGCATCTCATCTTGCATCTACAAGTTATACCTTGGCATAATAAATACAAATTTCAATGATATGCAACTCCCTCTCTGAGGCTTACGAAATAAAAAATAGCTAGGAAGAAGTACATATATGACTTGTAGGGAAAAAATAAAAACATTTATTTAAAGCCTTGCTCATAATGGAAATAAGTGGAAGAAGGAAAAAATAAGGAAGGGAGGTAGAAATATAGAATGTATGCATCTTTAAAACTCCACAGAAATCCTTTTAATTCAGTTTTGATTTCATTTCTATAAAACTGCATAAAACTAGGAACAAAAAAATAACAAAAACTATCCTCAAATTCAGAAATTCTAACCAAAAAAGATACGTACTTTATTATTTGTTTTTTTTTTTTAAGGATCGTTTTCGAGCAGTTCTCCATTAAAAAATTGCATATAGTTTGATAGTAATATTGACGATATTCCTAAGTAAACAGAAAAAGAAGCCAAAACAGTCACATCAAATGGAAAATGTAGGGCGTCGTAATACTCTTTTCTGGTGGGATTTCATGCCCTAAAGATAAAACTTCAAGCGAACATTGTAAAGAAAATTAGATTTCATTTTATGGCAAATGTCCTTGTTTAGATTTTAATTCAATTATGGTTTATCAAAAAAAATTTGCGAATATGTTCCGAACAAATAGAATCAATATTCTCTGCGCTCCCACTACCTGACTAAAAACACTCAAAACAAATTATATTATATTATAAAAGGACACGATGGAAATTGGTGTTTATATTATATTGAGCCATATTGTACGCAGACGTGCACACACACATACATAGCTACGCCTGCAAGCACTAATACTTGCCCGTGGAAGAGACAGGACGGGCGAGCAGAACTTTCGCTTTTGCAACCACGCCACGCAAAAAGGGAACGTTGGAAACTAATGGAAATTCATTTAAGCGCAACGACGATGGCAAAACAAAATCAAAAAGGATGCGCCAGTCGCTTGGAGGAGTCTGAATAAAGGACGCATAGAGCTGGGGTGGGGGTTGTGGGAGGACCGGAGGTCAGAATTATGAGCAAATGTTGCAAACAGAAAACAGCAAATGCCAAATGGCAGGCAGAGTTCGGTAAAGCCAAAGACAATAACAGCAGCAAAACAAAACAGTGCGCTCTAAAGTTATGCGTCTAAAGGCAACATTAAAAACACACAATCATATCTTTTTGGTGCAAGTGGGAGTCGCCACCCACCTCGCACCTAGTGAAAGGAAGAGGTATGAGGATGAGGATAAGGGAGTAGAATGCTCGATGCAATCGAAATGATTAAGTCAATTAGAAATGCATTGACATGCGCCGTGGCAGGCAACACAGACAGATATAGACAGCAGGAGTAGCAGAAGGGCCCTTACAGTGAAATGGCAGCTGTGGGAAGGATGGGCGTTGAGAGGGGATTGCTATTCCATTTGTGGCTGCTGTACTTGTTGTTGCTGTTGTTGTTTTAATTAGTGTTGCATACAGAATCAAAGCTCATTAAATTGAACATATATTGGATATGTGATAGATGGGTGGTGGTGTGCACAGCAAAAAGTTTCCAACAGGTACACCTTTTTGTTAAATTCTGGAGGTTCATACGGGCGAACAGACATGGACAGACATGTGTACATCAATTCTTCTTTTCTCTATAAAATGGTGTCTGACACGTCTCCTGCTGCCTGTTATCTGTTAATATACTCTTCACCCCTTCGGTGCGGCTTCTTAGCACTTTCACAGTGTCTAGTTGTGTTTAGAGGAGGATGGGCAGGGGCAGGGGAAGTGGCGTTTAAATTAAATTATAAATGACAGCAACAGCAAAAACAATAAAAAATAAATGAACACAAACTGCAATGATTTGTTATGGCAGTTTCCGCAGCAAATAGTAAAAGGATGCTCTATTTTTGGGCATCTTGTAATTGCATTGTGGGCCCCAATGTACTAGATGGATGTGTGTGTGCGTGTGTGTGTGAGTCCATTGCATTAATTATGGCCAAAAGCAAGGGGCCCGCACTGTTTTCGACAGCATTGCATCAGGTGCGAATATATACGAGTATATATACTCGAACTGACTTATATGTAGTTGTATGATATTCATGGCAATGGCCTTAGGACTTGCTATGGTGGCAAACGGATTTGTAAAGCAGTCCTATGTTTACAGAGCGCCGGAGGAATCGAAATATATGTACGTGCAACGGTGAAGGGGCGGAACGGGAAGGGTCATCTGCATAAATGTCGCAAGCAGGTGAAAGCTTATTATGCATGCCGTGCTAGGCTACAAAAAATAATAATAAAAAAGATGCCTGGAAGCAACTCAGTCGGACTTCGAAGCAAGAAGAAATGATGAGTGCTTTGCATAGAAAAGTACATAGTTAAGAAAAATCTCACTTGAGTGCAGGCTAAGCCCCAACACAGAAGACACACACACGCACATCATTTTGAAGGGCATTCTGCTTCTGGAATTCAGCTTTTGCAGCTCGTTATTTTGAATCCCACATAAGCCTTGATATAGGAATTGCCAGGTTGTGCCAATTATGTTAACTATAAAATAGGGCATTAAGTCTCTAATTCCAATTAATAAGGCATGATCGGAAAATAAGAGAAAGAACAAACTTGAGGACCTACTTACTCGCAATTAGCTGAAGTAGGCATTCATTTTCGAATACAAGTGAACTACTTTATATAGAGCTTATAAGAAACTAATAAGTTGGAAAAGGTAGTTCAGAATAAGGGCGAATATACAGTACAATCTCAATATTTCGGACAATTAGTGTTCAGCTAGTTTTCACACAAACATAGAAAAAACTAACAAAAAGAAACGTTTACTCAACTCTATAAAGGCAAAAAAAACATATATATTAAATCGTAAACTAACTTTTAAAATTTCTTGTGTTTACTTTGTCTGTCTCATTTCAGTGTTTAAAGCAGATATACAGATGTAGATTTAGATTGCAAAATGGTTGATTATTAAGAAACAAACAAAAAAGTAACTAAGAAGTACCTGAATTAATAACATTGAATATAAGCCCAGAGTCTGGATTGGGAATGAAGTGAATTGTCAGAACTTCTGACTCAAAAGCATTTCATTCACTTAAAAAACTCATGTTTAGGAAGGCGAAAGAAGTTATAAAATCAAGCTTTTTTCTCCGTTTATTTATTCTTAGTTGTTGTCTAACACTTAACGTTCGATCAAAACTTTTGTGTCTCTTGTCTCGGCCCTAGGCAAATGATTGATGATGGCGACACGAAACAAACAAAAACAACAACAACAAAAACTATGGAATAAACTATGCTTTATCCCCCTACAAAAATCTCACTGACTGACTGACAGAATGTCTGATTATATAGCGTATGAGTGTCAGTTCCATGAGATCACTTATTTAAGAGTTATCTCAAGTTTCTGCTGCTACCCACCACCATCACCACCCACTCTCTCCCACCATTTTTCTCATAATCATCATCACATGTTTTAGTTACGTGTTTCGATTGTTTGCTACTACGCTTTTTTTCCTTCCCACCAGTTAATCAGCATTAAACAAATCTTAACTTATCACACACAAAAATTCAAACAGACAGACGGACATTTGACAAGTTTTTCTAGAGAGTTCCTAGAGAGCTTGCTTGTATTGTCGTATGTTCGACTGACATATGGCAGAACCGGAAAGCGCTGATCAAAATTGCGCCTATATAAAGGCAAAGGCAAACACATACCAAACAACTAGCAAGCCAGCCAATCAACCAACAAGAACAATAACGATAACAACAACAGCAAGCAAGACGTGCATAAATTAAGCGCCAGATTAGGCGAAAACCCAAATTGCGGAATCAACTTTCGTCGACTGCCCATGACGTCAACTCGAAAAACTTGATTTTTTTCTTTTATTTTTGTTATAAACTATTTGAACAAAAACAAAAACGGCAAAAACAGCAACGATTTGCTAAAGCACCGTTAAGTGCGTGGGCGCCGGGTAACGTGGGCAGCGCAATTGCAGTTTTTGGACAACAGAGCGCGCTGCTGTCAGTGCTAAGGAATTTTCACATGTCAAGAAAATGCAGTCACCGGCCCGTACCGGCAATCTTCTGAAAGCCGCACAACATTTTATACATAGACATGGGTACATATGTATTGCAAAAATAGAATGTATATGCATGTTTATAGGTAAACTTTCACCTTTGTACACTCACCTTAGTAATTGTTTAAGATTTTGCTAGTATAGTGCTACTTGGTCTCTGGATTCGCGCGCGGTATTTTATTTTCTCACTTTGTAGAGGAATAAAGCAAGACATATTCTGTGCGTTTTGGCGGCTAGTGTAGCATCAATTGCTCACTTTGGCAAATCAAAATTTGTATATCAACGGCCTTTTTCAATACGAACAGAAGATTTTTGCCAAAATTCCTCTGCAAATTGGTTTGCAGTGTAAATGTTAGTATGTGTGTGGTGTTCGGTTTTTTTTTTTTTTTTTTTAAATTCCTTTTTCTTTTGATGATGGTATGTATATGGAGGTGTATGTTAGCATGTACATGTGTGCGCTATGAACTCCTTTTTGCAACAATTTTGCACGCAATACAAAATTAGCACGCCGCACTGCGCTTGCACTTTTCTTTTTGGTTCAACGAAAAAAAATCGAAAAAAATATTGCTGACACAAAGTTTTGTGAGACTAGATTTTAAAATTGCTGTTTAACAATAAAGTATTCACAGAAATTCCAATGATATATTGTGTTTGTGTATAGAAATTTTGTGTTTACCGCTAAGCGCACTTGTCGTCGTCGTATTTTTGATTCAGATTAAAGCACGCCAAATAAATGTACTGTTACTGAGCGGTATGTGCTGCCTCAGAGATTCGTATCGAACTGTTTCGATCGAACTCGCAGTGTAGCCCACGGACCTAACAATGCAGACAACTTAACGCTGATTGGTCGAACGCTGGACGACTCTGCCAGGTCGCGTCTGCCAGGCTGCGTCTGGCAGCAGTGTTGTGAGCTTTTGTATCGAGTAGTCGGTACGCGACGAATGAATTTCATCAGAACCCCAAATCAGTTCAGGTCTTGGCACCCTACGAGTGATTACCAATATTATTCAACATCCCATATTTACAGCCTCATATGTAACATTTACATTCTAACGACAGATTTATTGCAAAATCATGATTTTGTTGACATACTCGTTATGTGTTAGCAAGTACTCAAACAACGGGCATCACTATCGACCACCAATTTTATAGTGCTGCAAAAGTTCGCACAAGTTTAGAAGCGCGCCAAATGCATTTTTTCAAATGAGCATTCGTATTGCGTTATTTTATCCGGCCACATATTTGTAAAACAATTAACCTTAGTTTCAGATATTTTATTCAAATTAACCATAAATAAATAGCATGTAAGTTAAACCTCTACTGCCGGTTCAGTGTTGGCAATGTAAAAAAATTGGTTCATAAACGACAGTGTTTATAAACGACAAAGTTGTGCTTCTGTTCATAATTCGAGTGCAAAAATTGTATATTGGAATACATGTATATACATAAATGTCCTAAGTATTCTTATAGTAAATGTACAAATTTCGTATGTAAACAAACATGGACCTTTTTAAGCTTTGATCCTTGAAACTATTTTATTTTCCTGATAACTACTTAAGATTTGAATTTGTTTAAATACATATGTATACACAAGAATTCAAAAATAAAGCGCTATAAAGTTTTGTTAAAAACTGTCCAGATACTTTCCTTGTGAAATTGATTCAAAACAATGAGCACGCAAATATATGTAGCACAAAAATTACATATTCCTAATAGTTATAAATATATTGTAAAATCTTCTATTACAAACAATTTATGTCCCTTTAATTTCCGCAGCTTTGCAGACTCTATATAAATCGCATGTTAACAGCTGATTGACGATGTAATTTAATAAGTATATTTTCAAAACATACATACATACATACATTCAAATGAAAAACACGGAAATGATTCAATTTATTATGAAAATATAAAGCCAAATACTGTGACTGCCGTGCTCTATTTACCTCCTTTAGGACACAAAAGGTAAAACAATAGTAGTTCTGTCTTGAGTTTATTGTAAAGTTTCCGTTTCGCATTAAAATTCAATCTTTTCGAAGCTAATTTAGATAATTTTTCATTTACGTTCAGTAGCTGCTGATTAAGTTTGACCGCAAACAAATGTTGTTTAATATGCGTCAATAATATACTTTTTACCATAAAAATATTTGATCTAAATCGAAATTTGATAACTCTTGGTGTGTAAAAATTTGTAAATAAAATTTGTTGTAAGCTATTTTAGTAAGCCCTTATAAATCTTTACAATATATTTAATATATTAATACAAATAATTGCCAGTAATACGAAAAATAATTTTGTTTCAACTATAGCGAAGGCAAAGCTTTTGAAACCAAAAAATCCGGACGTTTTGAGGAATTCAAAAGAACGAGAGATTTCGATTTCAAATATTTTGATCGAAATTATATACGGGAACAGGCATGATTAATTGATTTCTTTGTGAATCACACACTTGAACGGTTACGAAGCAAGAATGTATGTGGGAAATATCGGATACAACACAAACTTTAGAGTTGCGCTGTAACATGTAGTGTTGCCCTCCTGCCATTATTGGCCCCACTCGTGGGCAATCAGAAAATCCCAACAGAAAAACGCATATTCAAATTTGCAATTTCCATTACACGCCCCTTGGCTATCGTCTGCACGTTTAGCGAAGACATTGTAAATATTTATTTTTAACACATGTGTACACACGTACATTTGTATGTAAGTACACACATAGTTGTGTATATGCACAAGTACAAAATGCGGGTATACATATTTTTAATACCCACCATGTGTGAATGGCATGGCATTAAAATTGGAAATTGTTCCTACGTTTTAGCGCTCACTTTGCTTTACAGCAGGTCGACGGGGAGTAGAAAAATAGCGAGATATAGTTGGTGTATAGCGTGCAATGCGCAAGTGGGAGAGAGACGGCAGTACATCGCTAACGAACAGTTATTAGTGTCACGTATATACATATGTATATATAAGTATGTGTGAATGTATATTGGGTACTGTGTATACATGGTGTGAGCTAAAACCAGCAAGACAGCAACAACACAATAGCCAGAGCACTGAAGCTATCGTTGACTAATTCAAAAGGTTGCCAGATGCGCGAACGTACATATGTGGCCATGAATATTTTTCACATTGAAGGGGCAGGGTGGGGCCGTTATGTGCTTGTTGGACATGAAATAAGCCTCGATAACTTAATTTTTCGTAATTTTCTGATCACTTGGGTACAATTTCAATATAAAAAAGTAATTTTGGACATATGTCTATTAATTATCATATTAAATAAGCCAACAAGCATAGATCATAAAATATAAACATTAAAAAATAACAATATTTTGGTAAAATATAACCAAATTACAACAAAATATCTAGTAACGCATTCAGCTCGGAAGATTATAACTTGCCACCTATACTCCGAATCACAGACAAGTCAGATACGTAAATAGACCTGATACCAAAATTAAGAGAGTAATATCTAATAAAATACTTAATAGAAAAACTTAGAAAACCTATCGTACGTATATTTAATTTCAGTCTAATAATATACATATGATGAAAATGATTTCTTGTTTTCGGTAGTTCTTGATTAATAATTCTTTTACTAATTTCATCACATTGCAAAAGGTTTTAAACCATCATCATCGTTATGGGGATCTCAGCTGACGTTGCAAAGAAAGCATAGTTAGAAATTCAAACAACACGCGTGAAAAAAATGCACAAAGACCCTAGATGTCGCACAAATAGTATCAGTAATGCCCTGTTATAAAATGAATTTCAGAATTTTAATTGAAAAACTAAAGCAAACAAAAATGCAACATCTGGCAACCCAGACAGTTGCTCTTTCCACATACATGCGAGTGTGTAGGTTGGACTGTTCATGTATGTGTGCACCACAGACTGGCTTGCCCTGCTTGTCTGCGCCCATTTATTTTCTGAGTTGGCAGCACAAACAACTAGTAGCGCGTTTTCAGTTGTTTTTTTTCCGTCAAACTGTTCTGTTGCTGGTTATTTGCAATGCGGGCTAAGCTACTACTACTCTATTAAGCCGAACCTTACTGCTCCAAAAGCAACAACTGCGTTCGTTCGCTTGCTTTCTATTTGGTTCCGTTTGTGTTTTTTTGTTTTTTGTTTTTAACAATTTTGTCTGGTCTGTGCTCTGGCTGTGTGGTCGGTGTGTATGCATGTACATATGTATGTATGTACGTGCTCATTGCTAAATTAATCATGTAAGCGCGAGAACGACAACAACAGGCCAGACAACAAGTAACAATAATAAGCGTTAACCTGCAACAACAACAGCAACAGTACCAATACAACTGCAATTTCAAATTCCCAAACAAAAACGGGTTTCTTGTAATAAATCGCGCCCCGGAAACTGTTAATCTTATTGCTTTGCCTTTTCTATTAAATATATGACAACGTGTGTCATAGTGTTTGTGTATCGAAATTATTTCATAAATTATTTCGTTGAATATACAAAAAGTACAAAAAACAAAATAATTCAAAATCGGCTACAAAAACAAAGCACAATCTCAGTGCAAGGTAACGGGCGACAGAAAGTCGTACGAACATTCGGAGCGCGCGCGACGTTGGCGGCGATTTCCAATACAAATTGAAATACCAAAGAAAAAAGACAAGACACACACGCACACATAAATAAACAAACGAAATAAATACTGCGCGTACACCTTCGAATTAAGAATATAGTGTGAACTCACTCTAACGCATACGAAATTAGAGCGTCGTAACTACCACCAACAGCTGCTAGAGCGAGACGTGCGACGTCAGCGAGTTGCCATCGGGGCGGCTTGCTATAGTAGTGTGGCAACGAGTGTAGTGCAAATGTCAAAAGAAATTACAACACTGCAGTAAAGGAGAAGAAGGTGAACGACGAGCACCAATAACAACAAAGTGGCAGCAGCATCGGCAGTACAACAACAAAAATAACAAGTTGTTTTAGTGGTTGGAAAGAAGAAGAAGCCGTTGTGGGCCGCCTGGCCCAAAACATAAACAAACCTGAAAAGAATTCAAATTAATCTCTCAATTTGTACAAAAAATAAAAAACTATCTATATATATATTAAACGGAGCGCCTAAAGACGCTCGGCGGCCAACCCCCAAATGAGAAAATGCTGCCTGCCATGCAAACAGCCAAAGGAACGGGAACGAGCACATCACCGCCATCACCATCGACGTCTTCCAACAAACGTCAACCACACAAGCCGAGCATAGGACGGTCCAACCGTTCTCAGGATGATGATCCCGAGGGCGCATGCAATACCAGCAGTAATCGAAATTTTTACAATCATCGTTCATCGACCGTACCATATGCTAGCCATTTGGCCAAAGCAGATTACGATGTCATTACGATCTGCTCGGATACGGCGGTCAGTAGCAGCGCTACCGCTAATGCCATTGCCACTTCCTCGCCAGGCTCGATTGCACGCGTAGCCGTTAAGCCGCGTTATTTAAACCGACCCCAGACCAGCGCTCCACTCTTGGCAGCCAGATCGGTTAAACACTGCTCCCGGACCGGCATCAAGAGCAGCACCTCACCAAACATTGTAATGGCTGCCAAATCGTGCACAGGGTTTGGTGATCAGGAACAACAGGAAGGATTGCTTGAACACCATCATCACCACCATCTCAAAAATGGAGTGGTCAATGGTGGTGGGCACCACAGAAAGAACAGCATGCATGCTGTCCAGTCAAATGGTTCGCTTCTCAGTCGCTCTGGCGGCGATGGCCCACGTCCTGGTATTGACAACGACATTAAGAGCGACAGAGACGATATTGTGGACAACAGTGATGTCAATGACGTTGAAGCTGGCGCCGCTTTTTCTGCCGTAGCCAGCCGTACGATGATTGGAACCACGACAACGCCTATTATCACGCCCACACCATCCTCCACACTGGGTGTTAATATGCGTGTCACTGGACAGTGCAGTCAGGGAGGCCGCAAATATATGGAGGACCAGTTCCTGGTGGCCTATCAGAAGTCACCGGTCACCGATGATTTGGAATATGCCTTTTTTGGGATTTACGATGGTCATGGTGGGGATGAGGCAGCCCTATTTGCGAAGGAACATCTTATGCTCGAGATTGTGAAACAGAAACAGTTCTGGTCTGATAAAGATGAGGATGTATTGCGCGCCATACGCGAGGGTTACATTGCAACCCACTTTGCCATGTGGCGGGAGCAAGGTGAGTGTGAGCCGGTCATAAATAATAACAAGAATAACAATATACATATGTATGTACATACATGAGTACAATACATACATACATTCGTATGTATAGTGCTTGCGTATGTGTGTGTACGTGCGCGCGGTGGCAGAGCCAACAACTGGTGATGGCCTACAAGTGAAATCTGCATCAATACACAGAAGACACACACATGCGAGTTACAGTGAGTGAACGGAATATTCCATTTTGTAACACGATGTGGCAACGCCGTAATTCAGTTTTTATCATGGCCGCATGAAATGCCAAAAAAAAATCCATTGTGACGTTGCGCGCGTCTCTCACCACTTTCAAATCTCATCAAACAAAAATATTGAAGCAACAAATCGAAAACAAAACGTTTAGACCCTGTTCAAAATGAAAGCAAATCCTTATTTTATAAACATAAATATGTTTTTATGTATTGAGTTAGCTGCCGACGGACGAACTAAATTGAGTTATATGTATTTGAGTGCCGATTATTTACCTTTAATTTGATGTTACATAAAATATCTACAAACTATACATATGTATGGTATATATGTATATACACACACACACATGTACACTATTATGTGTATGTAATTGCAATAATATGAATGCCTTTGTATTTTAAACGATTTCCCATCGTCCCCTTATCTTACAGAGAAATGGCCTCGTACCGCCAACGGTCATCTGAGCACCGCCGGCACCACCGCCACAGTCGCATTTATGCGACACGAAAAAATATATATAGGTCATGTCGGCGATTCGGGAATTGTGTTGGGGTACCAAAAGGAGAATGAGACCACCTGGCGTGCCAAGCAACTGACTACGGATCACAAGCCAGAGTCCGTGGAGGAGAAGACGCGCATTCAGCGAGCCGGCGGCAATGTGACTGTGAAGTCGGGTGTGCCGCGTGTGGTATGGAACCGGCCACGTGATCCCTTCCACCGGGGCCCCATCAAGCAGCGCACGCCTGTCGATGATATACCATTTCTAGCCGTAGCTCGTTCACTGGGCGATCTTTGGAGTTATAATTCCCGGTGCAGGGAGTTCGTTGTCAGCCCAGATCCCGACGTCAAGGTGGTCAAAATTAATCCAAACACATTCAGGTGAGAGCGAAAGAAAACTTTAGAAATACATATGAACTTCCATTTAAAGAAGGCTCTTTTATTTGACTCTGATTTGTCCCATTTTCGAATTAGATTTTTTGTGAGAGATCGGAATTGGTAAATGTTTAATAGCCGAAGCACAATCGGAAAATATCTAGATCTAGAAATAGGTTATTGCGTAAATGTTGACTTAAACCCTGAAATTCAGACGTACATTAATTCGTTATTTGTTTTTAATTTAAATATCAATCCTAACTCTTTAAGCCGCGCTGTTTCTAGAGGTATTTAAAAATATACATACATATGTACATATGCCTCCAGTCTGATTATATTAAATAGCTGCTTTAGAAAGAATAAATGAGAGAGTAAACTAGTCGAGACTTATTGGTTCCGATAATCTTTTGCTACTTTTAGATGCCTTGTCTTTGGCACGGATGGCCTGTGGAACGTGATGACGCCGCAGGAGGCGGTGGACTGTGTGCAGGAGCAGCTGAACATGGGTGAGCAAGATACAATGAATCCGAGCAAAGCGCTGGTCGATCAAGCGCTGAAAACGTGGGCGTCCAAGAAGATGCGTGCGGATAACACGTCCGTAGTAACTGTGATACTGAGCCCGGCCGAACAAGCCGCTCCATCAAACTGTGCGCATTCAGATGCAAATGGATCAAATCATTGGTTGAGTGAACACCCACGCAGCCCTGGAACCACAGCTCTACGCATTGATGAGTACGAGCATGATACCCCATATAGTGCCTTGGCCCAGGGCCATTTGCCCCCAGAGTTGTATCGCAATTACGACTATTATGAGCAGGAGGAGCCTGAGGAAGAGCAAGAAGAGGAGACAGATGAGGAGGAGCAGGGGGCGATGGTATTGGTTGAACGCTCAGCCACACGCACCACCCTGGTGGCGCATTTAGAAAAGGATCGAGTGTCTAGTCACAGCAAATATGGTCGCAAGCTGCGACTGGAATCACGCACAGTTATTGGCCCCACCATCAGCTCGCCCTGGAACGTTGTCCACGAAGAGGAACCAACTGTTGCTGTCCAACACCACTCGTCCATCTCCAAGGAACTGCATGATCTGCGTACATTAGTGGAGGACATCGAGGACGATGACATGAACGAGGGCGATGAAGACGAGGACGATGAAGAAGCATTGGAAGCGGACCGAAGGAACTCTTCCAGTGGACTGGGAGTACTATATAGCGATATGAGCGTTGTCAATGGAGTGGTGGCCCCCACCCATTACCACCCACTGCCAAATTGTGATGCAATGGCGCACATAGCCGCCGCCGATAGCAACAGCGATGACCTAACCGATCTAGAGCACAGCTTTAGCACCAGCTATGTTTCGGCAGCGACTCCAGCTGAGGGCTACAGCTTTGCCGAATCCTACAACTCAATCCTCAATGAACAGCAAGCGGCGCGCACACGTGTCGCGTTCACCACAGTGCCTCCAGAGCCGGCAGCACACCATCAGCTGCAACAGAGCAATGTGCGTAGTATGCAGGAGATACTACAGGAGCAGCAGCGCTACCAGCAGCAGGAAGGCTACTCACTGACTAGGCTGGAGACGCGTCGTGAGCAACAACAACAGCAGCAGACAGTTATTGCGCCTATCGGCGATTACGAGGCATCCCCATCGCCGTTGATGGAACAGTCCCAAGTGGAAGGAAGTTGGCCGCGCGGGGAATATGTAAGCATATGTGCGGCGGTTCGCGAACAACAGCAGCAGCAGCTTCTGCAGCTAGATGCACTGTTGCAGCAGGAACGGGCTGAAGAGCAACAGGTAGCCTTAGAACAGCGACTGCTGGAGCAACAACAACAGCAGCAGCAGAAACAACAACAACAGCTGCCCGCAGTGGTGACCATATGCTCGATTGAAGCGCTCGACCAGGTTGAAGAGGATGAGCCGGACGTGGAGCAAGTAGACGACATTGAGAATATCGAAGAAATTGAAGAGCTTGAGCAGATCGAAGAGGATGAATCAAACTACTCGGAGTGGACCAGCAGCAGTTTGGTCACGCCCATGGAAAATGATGATGGAGTCGAGCTGACGGCCCTGACAGAACCCTCTGTTGCCATGGAGCAGGACGATGACGACCAGATATGTGCTGCTCCTGAAGAGCCCACGTTACAGGATAATCAAGTCAGCTCCACTCTACTGACGCCCCCGCCCACAGCGGAAAATCTAAACACAGCTGTGCTCCAATTCCACGAGACTGTTGCCGAGATACGCAAGGAGGACGCACATGCCGTGCATTTTCTAATCGAGCAGATCCAGAAACTCCAGGAGGTCGACTGCACGCCGGTGCTAGCCACTGCCAATGTGGGTGTGGCCATTGAACGTGCCGCTGCCGCCGCCACTGAGCTACAAACGCCCTCATCCGCCTCAACCAGCAAGCTAAAGGATGAGGCATCATCGTCCTCGTCGTCGTCACCGCCGTTGGTCAGACGCCGTCAAATGCGGCGGTTTCGCAATGTGCCCAATGAGAATCATCGCCAGCAGTCACCTTCCTCATCACCCAATTCACAAATGCAGACCCGCTGGCGCCAGAAGTTCAAGCACACCAAAACCAAATCCTTTATTACCAGCAGTGCGGCGGCCATTGTCGCCTATGGAGAAAGCCAAACGGCCAGAAACAACAACAACAACAATAATCTCAAAACACCGTCTAGTGGCGGCAGCAGTGGCGTGGCGCGACGCAGCAACAATAATAATACCAACACCAGCAATAGCAGCACCAATGCCGCGAAGATGATGATGACCCGGCGCAGTCAAAGCGTCAGTCTGAATGCTGGCAGTGTTGTTAGTAAGCGGCAGTTGCGCAGCAGCATTTGTAATATGGACATGACGAAGCGAACGTTGCGCACTCGGAATATGCCACCACCTGGCACCCCAACTGGCGCACCTAATACTCCAAGCGGTGGTAGTAGTGGTCACTCATTTGCCCGCGGCACGACCACCACAGCCGGCACCCAAACGGGTGGGACGCGCACGGCGCGAAACTCGCGGCGTGGCCACCATGACGGACAGCGTGTTCCGGAGCAGCAGCTTATGGCTGTGGTTGCCTCCAATCGAGCTGCGGTGGAGCATCGTCGCTGTCTGCGCAGCAATCTTGTGGTTGCCACCAGCGGCAGCAGCAGCAGCATCGGCGGTGTTGGTGGCGGCAGCAGCAACACTGGAGGATTTAGCAAGTCCACGCGCCTTCAATGTGGTGGCGCTATTGCGGCGCGCCCGCCACCCTCGCCCAAGAAACTGCAAGCGGCAGCACCCACTTTGGCTATGGCGGCTGTGACGGAGTTAAATAAACGCTGGTCTCTGCGCAGCAGCAGCAGCAACGGCCACGCCCACATGACACGCCGAATGCTCACAGGCAGCGGGAATGGCAATCACAATAATGGTCGCTTAATGCTGACCAACATGGTCTCTGGAGGAGTTGGTAATGCTAAGGATGGCTTGATTGAAGGATCAGGTGGCGCTGCTGGTCAACTAGTGTCCTCCCCCCTCAGTACTTGCTACGGTTCACGAACGCGTCACTTGACACGCAAGCGCTGAATCCCCCCAACCCTCGAATCCCAATCGCTGACCGGCAATAACAAAACAAACCGAGTACAAAATAATTAAATGTATTAGAATAAAAGTGAAACACACACACACATACCCTTAGCGTAAAAAGAAAGAAAATAAATAAACTTCCAGGCAGCAATAAGAACAAACGTATAGAAAGAGAACACAAAAATGTTAATCACAATTTAAGACGTATGTATATATAACTATATATTTATATATATATAAATATATACTTATATATATTTGTATTTTAACACGCAACAAAATTCTAAGTTCTAAATTAAAGCCGCAGACAGAATTAAGAAAAAAAATTAAATGTAAAATGCAAAATGTGCATCAATAAGCATATATATATACACATACATATATGTATATATACATGTATATATTTACATATATATATATCTATATATATATATATATATATATATATATATATATATATATATATATATATATATCTATATATATATATATATATATCTATATATATATATATATATATATATATATCTATATATATATATATATATATATATATATAAATATATATATATAGATAAAGATTAATACTAAGCATAATACATAAGCTTGTGAATACGATTACACACAAACATACACATTATGGTAATGTTAAAGCTAAATAGATATATACACACATATATTTTTTGTAATTTGTTAAGCTATGCTTAAGCAGTGTACATACCTACATACATAAAATCGATCCATATGTGAAATTACAGTTAAGGCAGCTCTAACAATTTTAATTCCTCAGTAAGTCGTCTGTTCCAGATATAAATATAAATATTTTCAGATTTTCTTTTTTTTTAAATATTATTTGTAAACTTCTCTTTACAACAAAACAGTTTGAAAAAAGGCTGTAAGCTGGCCTACGTTTCTTTTAAATATTATGTGTAGAAGTATAAAGTGTGTTAAATACTTTAGCGTAAGCAGAATTTTAATTTTTAGAGTTTTTCAATTTTTTTATTTGTAGGCCTACCAAGAAAGATGCTAATAGAGTTAACATACATAACAAACAGTTTTTTTTTTAATCTTTATCATAATTAGTTATATATTATGCTCTCGTATATAGTTAATGCGTAACTTCGTCTATTATTTATTTCGTTTTCATAAATTTAACGTTAAAAAAGAGCAGAAAATAAAGAAGTATAACCATTTCATTAAAATCAATTCTCTTTTCCTGCTATTATTAGGGGATTTGTCTTTCCTATTGGAATAGTGTGAAATTTTTACACTGTTGTGATAAATTCTGGAATAAAATTAACATGTGGACATTTTCGTGCAATGATTTCTGAAGATTTTCAAAATAGGTCCACACTTCGCCATCCTGAAACGCTGGTGAAATAATTTCCTTTCCTCTAAGATAAATCATACGGAGGAAACGGCTCTAAAACTTTGATGAGCTATTGCCATGGAAGTTCGAACCATGTCTATGACATCGTGGCAGGTAACGAATCGTTGATCTATGGATATGAGTCCAAAACTATTCAGCAATCATGGATCTTACAAAACGAGCCAAAACTAACGAAAATTAATCATAACGGAATATCTTCACATCGGCTCGGTCACATCGGCTTCCATAACCGACCATTTGAACATTCAAACATTAACCTTTTTATTCTCATATATATGATATAAAAAAGAAAAGGGGAAAGTACTTCAAGCGGTTAAAGTGGATTAATCGTCATGGCAAAAATTATGATATTTGTTTATATGAGCAAAATATAAAAGTCGGCGAATATAATAACAAATAATTATTTGTATATAATTTGAAATTAAAATTTGTTGTTGCTTTTGGATTCTTGAGAGTGCGCTTTCCACGAACAACATTGCACAACACTAAGTAGAAAGCGCTGCCAGATGTTGCGTGATATTTGCGTGCAAAACGAATAAAAAAGGAAAAGAAACGTGGTAGCGCCACGTTTGGATGACAGTTGATGCATTTGTATTTGCAGTGGTTTGAAAATGGTAATATACATCAGGGAATAAATAATATTTTAATAAGGTAAGGAAACAACAACACAGGCTTCAATATAAAAACAAATGAGATATCTGACAAACACAAAGTAGTTTTCTTCGTTTTCAACTTGAACGCGCGCCCAATTCTGTCCCCCTAACAGCGCTGCCTTACACGCATACACATGCGCTTGTGTGTGTGTCGATGTTTGGTGGTCGTGTTGCAAGCAAGGAATCGTTCGCCTCGAGCTCACATTTGCCGACAACAATTACACGCGTTCGGTTTACTCGTCGGACTCTCTCTGCCGCCTTACTACCGTGCGTATTAATATCCAAGCTAAACAACAGTCGACGCGTAAATTTCTTCTGCGTATGTTTTTTTTGTTTTTGTTGATTGCCGTGCCGTGCTATTATCAGAGTGTGTCACACACAACAATATTGTTGCTATTGTGGTTGGCGTAAAGATTTAATAATACCGTGTATTTGTGTAAATTAAAAACAAAATTTTGGTAAACAAACAGAAAACGCGGGCGTGAGTTAAAAGTTTGATGGTCTGGTGCCTGAAAAACGGACGCGTTCAAGTGGTAAGTGTCAATGTGTGCGCCTCCTGTCTAAGTTAAGATTAGAAAGTGCAGCGACAAGCTTACACAAACATATGTACGTAGCTCTTTATGTATGTATGTGCGTAGTATTCAGTGCATGTGTAACGGGACAATTGGCAATATATAGTATGTTTGTTATGTAGATTAAAAATGGCCCTGGAGCCTCCTAAGCGTGAGTTGCTGCTTAAATCCAATTGGAGTTTTACCGTTTGTTTGTATTTGTGAGTGTGAGTGTGTGTGTGTGTGTGCGCGCGGTTTTCCACCCCAGGCAGGCGGCCAACTTCGAAACGCGGCCACAGCTCGGCTCGTAGCTCGCAGTTTAATGCGCAGCTTCCCTTGAGCCGGATTCGTGTTGAGTCAACGACGGCAACAAAAGCAACAACCCCCTTTGCTCGACAGGCAGGCTCGACAAAACTCGAAACAGCGTCATCATCATCCGACTGACTGGGCCTGGACTCAACGTTTTGAAACGTGTTTCAAAGTGGGTGGCTCACAGCTGTTGGCTTCTTCTACAGCTCTGCCCTCTGTTGCTTAGGCATCGCATTATCCTGTCGTTTGCTTTATGCACTACTTCGCACTGAACTGGAATTTGTTGTTCCTACTGCTCCTGCTGATATTGTTGTTGTTGTCTCTGGGTGGTGGGGCTCCGCAGTCGGCGATTTATGACATCAACACACGCTTATTGCTTAGTGCCAGCGCCCAGCGTCTGTCCTCACACACACAACCACACACACACACGCACACACACACACGCACACAAACACAGACTAGTGGTGGGCATGGGCCGTGTTTGTGCGTGGCCGCTGTACGAACAAGCATGATCAAATACGAAAATAACCTAAACATCTTGCCATTAGTGAACACGTACTTTACTTTTTTTTTAAGACTAATTACTTTTTTCTTAAATCTAAAAAAGGCGTTGAGATTCAACATGCTTAAAATTAGTAGGTGGGAGCAAAGAAATTATAAAAAAAATTGACAAACAAAATTTAGACCATAACTGCAAAAAAAAAAATTAATTTATATTTTTGCTATTTTTGTTTACTTTTGATATATTATTGTTAGTGTTTTGGTCGTATTTGAAAAACGGTCCCTATTGCCATATTTATAAAATTTCGTTGGCTGCTAATCAAAACTGTGCTTAAAGATTTTATATTAATTGTAGCTAAATGCAGATTTGGCGTCTTTAAGAGTACTTTTAATAAATTAATGGAAAGAAAGTTCAATTACAAATAACATATACAATTAATATTATTTCCACTCTGCTCATTTTTCGGTTTGAAAACCATTATTTTTTGTCACATATTCATAAATTTCAACAAGCATTTTTCCATCGTGTGCGTTTTCAGACTTACATTTCATATTTTTCTCGTGTCGTGTCGATGCCCATCTCTAACGCACACAGATACCCATACAGGCATACACACAGACTCATACATAGTAAAGCTTTGTCCTTTGGCCAAAGCTCGTGCCTCGCTTTCCACGCGCTACTTCGGCTGCCCTGCCGTTTGATTCGTGCTTACAACGAGCCAAGCAGAGCGCTTACGTGTTTGTGCCGTTAGTTTCGCAGCAGCAGCACCAGCAGCGGCGGCGGCGGCGGCGGCAAAGCCAACGGCGGCTTTGGTAATTGTCGCACTGTGCCGCGCCCCCCTCCCACCATTACCATTCCAACATCTCCCTTCAGCCTGCGTCCCAGGCCCCGCTTCACATCATTTGCAGTTGTCGCTCAAATTAATTGTTATCGATTTGTTGCAAGGACTTGGACTTTGAGCACTTTGCGCCTGTTGTAGTTCTTGTTATTATTTACACCCCCACCCCCACCCCCCCTCTATTGACTTCAATATTTAACTTGGTATTGTTTATCGCAAAGGTGTCGTCATTGGGGCTTGGATTTACCTCGTTGCATTCTACGGAAATACATTCAAACATACTCGTACATACATATATACACATTTAAATATGTATGCGTGTATTGGCAGACTCTCTTCATTTTCCATTTCTTTTCATTTCGGCAACCACGAAATGTACACACATTGATCATCAGTAGCGTGGCCGATTCTTGAGTGTCAAAAACAGCTAGATCAACAATTCAGAGATGCTAGAAATATACAAGTAGTAGCTCAAGAAATGATGTAAGGTTTTATATTGTTATCATTCCCATACAGCATCGAGCTCTACAATTCCCCGAAATATGCTGATCCATTAGTCTAAGAGTAGTCGATTAGGGTTAAACTTTTCTTAAAGACGTCCACCCCTATAATAAAATATATTTATTGTATTACAATATTACAAAAGAGACTCAGTCCAATGACGGTTACATGATCTGGTGATAGGTTAACTGATTGTAAAAGAATAAAAAAACAATTGTTTCTAACAATCCATACTTATAACTTTATCAAGAAAATCATATTATAGTGAAAGACATGTAGATTTCTATTCCGAGACCTAAATAACGCGAGCCGTAATTTTACAATTGTTGCCGCATCCTGCATTTGAAGAAGTCTATACTTGCGCAAAAGCGACTAAATTCGCAACACTGTCCGATCAGTGCCTCTACTGCAATCGCGAGAGTGGGCAACATTTTGGGAGAGCACATGGTCAACTGCTAAGCCCGTTGGCCAATGGCGCACTCCCATTCTCGTTGATTTCGATAATATTTTGGAAAACAGACGCAGTTTGCCGTCAACGTTGCCGTGGTCGACGGCTTTCATGCTCGCCACTTTTTCGAAATGAGATAAAATTCAAATTAAGAAAAGAACAACAAAATCAAGAAAGAAACCGAAACGAAAATGATTTTATGATGCTTTGGCCTAAAAATATCGCACAAAGCGGCGCAGTAAATTGTCTAAGTGAAAAATATTTGAGTAGGACTCGCGGCTGTTCACTACTAGTGGGTGTTTCGCTCGGTTTGGCTTGGCATACATACAGACAAATGTATACATACAAACATACATATACATGTATGTATTCTCCGTGTGCAAATGAGGGAATGACTAGACATGTAGAGCTTTTAGAGTGACCATATCAAGTGGGGATTGTAAATAATATCACGGCTGTAAAAACAAACTTTTTTGCTAACACTTTTATTTCAGAGCTTACCCTTTTACGGCTTGTGGTTTCATTTATTTAAAATAGGAACAATTAGAAAGATTCCACTTTGTATTTTAGCATAAAAATGTTTCTTAATTTAGGTCTTTTAAGCCCAAATTACTATACCAGCACCAATCTAGCCATTTATGTTTATTGATAAAAACGCTTTCGTTTTGGTATGCATTTTGTTTAAAGAGCTTGAGTTGAAAATATCATTAGCCAGAAAGAGCAGTCGAATTAAAGTCGCCTCTTCCGGTCAGATTTTTAAAGGTTTCGATCTAAAAACACCATTGTTAATAGCAGCCACATAGCAAAATATGTATTTACCTAATTATGTTTTCTATTAATCCCTTCTATTTCATTTTGCTTCTTTAAAATGAAAATAAATAATATACTTGCAAAATGAAGCAAAATCTTGCTTCCGGTTACATTTTAAACAAAATGATGCTTCATTGTGCATTTCACAGCTTTACACAGCGCTTTAACCTATTCTTAATGTACATCTTTTTCAGCACAAAAAAGTAAAAACTTGTTCCTTTAGATATTCTCATAGATTAAGATATTCGCATAGATTCTCTCTTCTGATTACAAATCGATATAAATTCGAGAGATATGAGATAAGTAAATTAACAAATTTCCATTTCAAGGTTCAATACTAAACTTAATTGGAAAAATGCACTCATTTTGTCTGAAAATATCTGAAAATCAAGCCAAATACGAGCATATTCTTATGGATTCGATAGAAATTGAATCTTTTTCATTTTTGTAAAGACTCTACTGATTGTATATCTAAGAGTTTTGAAGCTCTTAGGGAATGCTCTTAGATCTTACTTTATGCCAATTTTAAATCTGGAAAACCGTAAAATTACATTACTGATTGCCGTCGGTTTTATAACGATTCGATACTAAGTATCAGAGCTCTATCAAATTGCCATAGCTATGGAAGATTTAATCTAAGAACGACTCTGGGGTCCCACTCTTTACGATTCTAAAATCTAGGAGATCTTGAAACTCCTTCACTGATTGCCATCGATAAGCAAGTACTGCGTAATTTTTGTATCAAATATGGGATTTATATGCTGCAAGTAAGTTTCTTCGACCAGACTTTATGCTAACTTTAAATCTAGGAGATTTTGAGGCTGTTTTCGATTTTGTAAAGATGCTATCCAAAGCCCAGAACCACAATCAATTGGTTCGATCCCATGCTGTGTAACCCAAAGCTAACTACGTCTATTTTTAAATGGATATTTTTAGCTCGTCAGAGTCGGGTCGAGTAGAGTCGAGAGCACTGCCTGAAGAAGCAATTCAGTTCAGTTCAGTTGGAGTCGATCCGGCACGGCACGGCTCGGCTCTGAACAGGGCAGGGCAGGGTAGGCGAAGGTATTTTTAAGTTAAGTTCAATTACCTTTAAATGAATTATACAAACACAGCGACGGAAACTGATATCAAATGGAATACTAACACATAGGCGAGTGAGAGAGACAGAGACGCAGGCGCACAGGCGTCTGTTGGGGGATCCCAGTTCCTAGTTTCTCGGTTCCAGGCCAAGTAGTAGCGTCAATGCAGAAGACGAAGCAGCTGTTTGTAAGTGCGAGTGCGTGTGTGTGTGTGTGTGTATGCGTGTGTGTTTGTAAGCATCTAAAACCGCCGCCGCCTATACGCTTAGGTGGGGGAGAGACGTGCGGAGAGGAGACGTTGGCGCGCGAAGTACAAGATGCTGCCAAAAATAAATTTGAACTCAAATCGCGGCAAAGGCGAGATGAGGAAAAACCAAATCGAGTGCCAAGAAAAACCAACGCAAAGAAAAACCAAACCAATCATACAAACACACCAGCTATATGTATATGTGTGTATGTATGTGTGTATGTACGTATATGTGTGTATCAGCACACAGATAATTGTGCGTGTGTGTGTGTGTGTCGAGGCGCGCTCAAGTGCGCAAGAGAAAATGCTCCACTCTCGACTTGTTGTTTATGAATTTTCATTCTTCCCTTGGTGCCGTTGTTTACCAATATGTTTGCATATACTGGTAGATGGGTGCCCGACCCACTCACCCCTCATCCCTCACTCCTCACCACTCGCCAACAACACTGCCTCTGCCTCTGCGGCTTCACCTTTTTTCCAAGTCCAGCACTCTGCTGCAATTTCCTCCTCCATATTCATATTCATGTCCACGCCATGACGCAACGCCCGCTGCCATATAAATACAACGTGCGCCGACCTCATTAGGTAGTCTTGAGTTTCCAAAAAACAACGGAGTCAAATATTGTAAATGAAAATGGGAAGAAAAACTCACGCGTCCGACTGTGTGTTTTCTTCATTCTTTCGCTTGTTTGTTCGTTCGTTCGTTGGTTGGTTGGCTCGTTGGTTCATTCGTTCTTTCTTTCTTTCTTCTGGCAGCAGAAATGCGTGCCATCAATTTTCATCATAAGATGCGCAGACCAGAAAGCTCAGAGTGCAGCTATAAGTATACATTTGAAATCGGAGGCATGCCCTGTACACGGTCCCGCCCTGGGCCGGCTATTTTTAAAGTCGAAAAAACATTTCAGCTGCCAAGTTGCCAACTGCCAACCAAGTACAGTCCCGCGCTCACATACTAATGCCCCATCGGCAAAGATCGCGAGTCTTACACCCAGTCTGATACCGAGGGAGCATGCCCATTAGAATATTGCTCTAAGCTCGGTTTGGGACATGCTAGCAGAAATGCTATTAAACGGTGCGATTCCGTGAATTCCCAGTTGCGAGGATGCATGGATAAGCCCAGTTCTTGTGAAAGAAATTGGCTTTATGAACACAGAATATGCATATACTCGTAATTCGAACGATTCAGAACAAATAAACCCTTTTCAAACCCCTTAGCTAGGTAGAACCCAACCTATATAGCCCAAGCCCCATCCAGTCCGAATTTAAATCAAATGGAGAACTGGGTTTTACTTAAAGAAAGAAAAATAAATGACGATATCAATCAATGGCTTAGCCATTTTATTGAAGGTATTGATTCCCAAAACCTGCTCATTTGTAAAAGTAATATCAATCTATATTGTCTACAAGGCAATAGATCAGGTTACAACTATAAATTTATCTAAATACCATTTGGAGTAAACAAAAAGTATTTACTAATTAGCCAAGTATTAAGTATCGCTGAATTGAAGAAAGCCGAAGAACTTTGCAAGATGAGAGTTGAATAGGAATTATATCAAGAAGGGTAATTTGAAAAAGTCATGCATAACAAGAAATGAGTAGAAGCGCTTACAAATCTACAAGTATTAAAAATATTAAAGCTCAAAACCTGTTATCAGTAGTTGGATTCCGATAGTCCTAAATACATGATTTGCTTAAAAAGGAAGGATAGTTGGGAAAAATGTTTATACATGCTGAATATAAATTTGTAATTTCCAAAATCCAAGTACCATACTTGGTAGGAAATTAGACTGCTACCCGGTCTAATGATGAAAATATAAATTATGATACGAATTATGATTACTAAGACTTTGCAAATCCCAAAACCAGCTATCGGGAACTTTATAGCGCGACTTTAGGAGTTTTACAGAACTTATAGAATTTATTTATAATGAAAACTCGATGAAGAAAGGTAGGTGGGTACAGCTGGGAAATTTACAAGCCCGGTTTTAAGTAAGTTTTAGTAAAGCGAACAGCTTTCAGTTCTACTTGTAGTATCAGTTGATAGGTATGGATCGAAAGTATACATGATTTTTAATTCAAGAAAGCTCGGCTTTCCTAATCGCTAATCTGGCATGAAGTTGTTTTTTTATGGGGTAACCACAATAGAAAGTAAAGAGGAATATATTTGAATTGAATCGCTTCCGTTAGAAATGCCAGCTAGATGACTAAGAAAGCCGAAATATTCGACTACTGAAATAATTAAAGCAAGGCAAAAATACGATATGTACTATACTCGTATAGTATGTGGCTATAAGTATTTGGATGAAGCAGGAATTAGCGATCGCTTGTGCTCTCGCCTTCTCTCTTCTTTCCACATTCCCAAAGGCACACACAGATACACACAACAACACACACACGCACACACACACACACACAGGCGTACATACAGGCGTACACCTAGAATAATACAGAGTCATAGTTTCGTTTAAAGGGGGCGGAAAAAATAGCTTACACACAAAATTGCGGGACCTTCGGTGTCGCTCTGAGGCTTTTCTTTGCTTGCTCGATCGCGTATTTCGTTATTATTATTATTTTTTTTGGTTTTTTCGGCACCATCAGCTTCGACCTCTATATGGACCAGATTGCACCACACCGCACGGCGCCTGCGAACACCGCCACCACCGCCTCCGCCGCCATCAAAGCCAACGACTGCGTCGCCATCGCCGTCGTCGACGCTGCGCTGAGCCAAACGGCCAACAGGCTGCGATGGGTGCTCGGCCGCTCGTAACGCTCGGGCCGGCCAACTCGAGTTGGTTTTCTGAATTCAGTTTTTAGTATTCGATTGGACTGCGACTATTTCGTGTGGAATCGGATTCGGAGTCCCGACAACAACGGATCGAGATCTAGACGGTAAACGGCCACTGCTCGTGCCTGTGTTCGCGCTTTAGCTTTTCCACTTGTGTGTCTATTTTGAAAATATATATATACACACACACACACACAGCCACAGACAGACGCACACCGATTTGTTTTTTTTTTTTAAACGCAAGAAGCAGCCGTGCAACAACAACAACTACAACAACAAATTACCAGCAGGAGTCGTGTGGTGGTGAAGGGGTGTGGGGCGTGGGACTAGGGTCGAGCAATGCCTGCTTAGGGCTGTGGAGAGAGAGAGAGAGAGAGAGAGAGAGTGAGTCGGAGAAAGGGAGGTGGGGAGGTGGGGAGAGGAGGGCCCACTGGCTTTGCCAGCCGCACAGACTCATTTCACCAACGTCTTGTGTTTGTTTGTAAATTTGGCCGCCCGCTCTGTTTTCCTCATTGCTGCCATCGTCAGATGCTCGTTCTCCGAATTCTTTATTCATCACACGCTCGGCCGATATTTATGTATATAAAAATAGCAACAAAGTCGCACCAACGGCCAATGTTTTAGCTGCCTTCAAGGCGTCGTCGCAGGAGGGGGGAGGCATTAGCCGAGGTAGTCTTACAGCCACTGCGACAGCGTCTGCGTCATTGGTATAAGTCCCAAAGGATAAAGCAGGATTAGATATATTCAAGCCATGGTTAACGTATTCTATATGGGAACTTGGATATTCTTATACTCATAGTGATCGCGGAGCATAAGTTAATATCATTATCTATACCACATTTCTATTGTCTAAGCATCCAAGCTTCAAGCTTCAAGTGGCACTCTTTTAAGAAAGTTAATTCAGTTCTTATGTCGAGAATTATGTGAAGATGTGTAACTAGTTTCAAGCCTAGACTTTGTAGAAAGCTAAATTCCTTGACAAATTAGCTTAGACTGGCATATGTAATAAGAAGTTTGAGCGCTGAATAGCATTAATATTCAGGAAAATGTTTCCCAACTCATTGTTGAATTGAAGTTCCTAGTAAGCGTAAGTTTCTGAAAACAACTTAAAATGTGCCGCGTCTTCCTAATCCAGAATAGTTTCAGATAAAGTTCTATTTGGAAGGAAGTAGTTTGAACAATGAATAGCAGAAAGTTTCGGAAAATGGTAGCCAGCTCCTCATTGTAGAATTGAAGTGCTGAGAAAGCTTAAGTTCCTGAAAAAACCTTAATATTTGATGTAAATAGATAGGGAAATCATTTCACGCACTCTTCGTTTACTTGTATAGTACTTGATATATCTTAATGACATATTTACTGAGAAAAGTTTGAACGCGAGTTTCAATATTCGAGAGCACTTAGTCTTAAGGAAAATAAAAGCAAGTCCTTAATTTCGTAGGAGGCTTGAATCCCTGAACAGCACTTAAAATACAAACCGATTTTTTTAGCAAAATAACTCAGCTTTTTAATGTAGAAATAAAATTGAATAAAACCAACCAACGAACCTGAATTCGATATTTAAAGAGAAAGGAATTTCGGGTTATAAGGATCGGACAAGCTTTAAATTAGTTCGATATTTGGAAGGCGAGCAATTTCGAGTTTTAAGAATCGGGCAAGCTCTTCCCAAGAATTTTTCAATATATTGCTCATTAAAGTCTTTACTTTTCATCTCTTAAACATATTTCTTACCTATTAGCCTAGGGGAAATTCTAGCCGAAAATCTTGCAATGTATTCTTCTTACAATGGCGTTTTAAGCATTTAATTTCAACTGCAACATTAACCGTATCTTTAAATTAAAACACATGTAGACGTTTTTGTTTAAGGGATCAGCAAAATATGAATGGCCATTTAAGCTATGACTGGGCTCTTTACGAAATTGGCCAATCTTTGTCTGATTTCGCTTAGTCATACATATATATTTATAAGTATATGTATATACATATATATTAATGTATCTGTATATATGTATCTATGTTTGAGTATCTGGCTCTTTATAACGCTTTCTCGCGCGATGTTTACAATTTGGCGTGATTTCGTACCAACAAAAATTTACTTCTATGTATTTTTAATTTTAGTCCAAGGTTTGAAACAACAACAACAATAGGAGCAGCAATAACAACAAGAACAACAACATCGACAACAACAGCAGCAAAAAAAAAGAACAAACTACAAACGTAATCAAAGCAGCAATCAAACGAACTGCAAGTGGAGGCAAAGTCTCAGAGAGAGAAAAAGAGCGGGAGAGAGAGCACAGCAAAACCAGAGAGAAAGAGAGGAGCGCATTCAGCTTTTGGCCAGCAAGCGCGTTGTTGGTGAAAACGGAAATCTCGTATACGCCGTGTGAGCAGCGGCAACTGACTCAGCGGCTATAAACCACAGATATTTGCCATCCAATGCGCTGAGTGGGCGGCACTTTGCTATTAACTCGTATTTGAACGCGCCCTAAGAACTTCAAGTTGTGGGCGTGGCAGACATAGAGGTAGCGGCGCCCAGGAACTGGACGCAGAAGACACATTTTCAAACTGCAGCCGGCTAAAAATTCAGGTAAGCCATATATTCTAAGTATAATAGAGATTTAAGAATTTAAAATGGTCTGGGTATATCTATAAAGTATTATATAGTATTATTATAAGTCAATAAATAATATGAGGCATTCGAAAATATAAAGCGACACCTGAGATCCACAAAAGCTCCGATAGTTCGAAGTGTAAGCGATATTAAGGTTTTAGAAACTAACAAAATAAACGTCAAACATCCAATTTAATGAAAACAAACTGGTCAGAGAGGCACCTGATAAGGTAGGAGATATGTGGGAAATATGTGGAATTTATGGGATTCAGATTATCGGGCTTATACATTAACACCACCCAACCTCTGGCATTATCTTGGCGAACACTAGCTTTAAAAATTAGTATATGAACTTTAATTGGATCATGAGTTTGGTTAATAATTGTCCTTTTATAAAAATGTATGTTGATTCTACACCTAAACAGATCATTTTAGAGCGCTTTCTCGATAATTATGATCGGCTTTAAAGCTATGTGGCATCATATATATAGTATATTTGATTCTGCATATATGCGGTTTCTATGTATCATAAGTATATAGTTTTAAAGTTTTCAGTTTCAGTTTTCAGCTTTTAGTTCTAAAGTCTTAGGAAACGCTAATTGGGTTTTACTGATTTTAAAACATGTTTCTATTATTGTGGATGGTTTTCTCGTTAGCATTGATGAATGAGTGATGTTTAGCTTTATGAATCCATTTATTTGGTCGGGGCATGGATAATATTTTTAATCCCTATTATCCTAGCTCATTCTATTACTCTGTTTCAATTATTTTGGAGAGTTCTCTTTATCTTTAAGGTTAGTTTACATTGCCGATTGTCCTTGATAAGCAAGAACTTTTCTGATTCCTAGTTACTAACGGGTTAGCCCGTTTTAAAATTTATTGAATTAAATTTACTTTTTGTCTTGTTTCCTTTGGCCGTTTTTGTGACGAATGGTGGGCGATTTCAAAAGTTAACGTCACGAATCGCTTCATGGCGTTTGATACGCTCTCACACAGACACCAATACATATAGACATACCATACTCTAAGTAGACAGATGCAGTTGCTTAAGAAATTCATCTTTTTTGGGTGCCAGCAGTTAAGAGAGTGCCAGCATTCAAAGCGGCGTTTATACGAGTAAATTTGTATTTCGAAATCTGGCGGAACATTTCGCAGGATGGCTAGAAATGTGGCAAGTGGCAGGCGACGACGTAAGCGTCAGTGTGTTAGTCAGCGTCTAGCCAAGAACAATGGCAGTGTCAACAAAAACAACAGCGACAGCAAAAGCAACAACAATAGCAACGACGACAAGAACTTGGGCCACAGGTGCGTTGCGTGGGCCTCGGGCCGAACTTTATCGCAGACTTGAGGCATTTAACGATATCACACACACACACACACACTATATAGTACTATATGTTTATGTACCGAAAACAGTTAAACAACAGTCACATAACTGGCCACACCAGCATGACTTCCCTCCCCTCCCCTCCCCTCTCCTCTCCACACCACCCCACCCCTTCCCATTCACACCCAAAATGCCATTTTCCCCTGCCATTGTCGCGCTAGCCTTATCAAAGAACAAACAGTTAAAACTTAAAACTTGCTCAACCCGGCAGCGTTTCGGTTGAAAGAAAAAAATAATACCGTACCCCCAAACCCAGCACCTGCCTCTCAACCCCTCAACATCAGCTGCGGAGCTCGGCATGCCGCTTCACATCGTTCGCTTCGTTCTTATCAGCGGCTTATCAGTAAATAATTCCACCTGTTGGTATGCTCGGACAAACGGTTCGGGGAGTTGTCGCTCGTCACTCTCCCTGTCTTGCCCACCACTTGGAGTAACGCTCAAGTGGGTGTGTGTGTGTGTGTCTGTCTGTTTGTGTGTGTGCGCTGATAATTTAATTGAATTGTCGTCGCTTTGCTTGGATCAGTTATATATCTTTTGCTTACCTCTGTTGGCTGACTTTGTCAAAGCAACGCTTACACACTGTAACAAAATATTGGGTGGAGTTCTAGAAAAAAAAAACTTTCATAATTTTAACCTTCACTGCACAGTGTAGGTAATCGTATTGAATATACATATTTTTCAAACAATAATTGTAGCCCGTTTTCCCCCTTTTGGAGACAAAATTGTTCCATAACCTACACTGAAAAAGGCAACTTGGAGTCCAAATTCCAACTGCGCGTTCATCACCAATTAGTAAGGACAAACTAACTTATATATTTATGTATGTATTGCCTCAAATTTGTTGCTTCTTGAAGCATAAATGTAGATTTTTATACCATGTACCTGAAGCGTCAAAGAGTATTTTAGATTTGTGCATATTTTGCAACAGACAAAAGGAAGCATCTCCGATCTCTCCTCTAATTCGTTGCTCCTTAAAGCATAAATATAGATTTAAATACCCAGTACCCGAAGCGTCAAAGACTATATTAGATTTGTGTATATTTTGCAACAGGCAAAAGGAAGCATCTCCGATTCTATACAGTATATACATATGTTCTAAGTGAGACAAATCGATCTAGACATGTCTGTCCACTCGTCTGGTTGAAGGACTGGATTTCGGAAACGACTTGGGTCACATTAACCAAACTTCCAGTTCCTAAGTAACATAAGGTTATTTTATTTTTGTAAACAAATCTGATAATCTGCACAGCTATAAGAGTAAGGATTGCAGCACCGACCACGTTCTTCATCTTCTCACTTACGCATTCAATGAAATGATTTCGATTTCTTTCAGTGTAAATGTTGTGCGCGTTCATAACCTTGGCGTCACGCTTGCTCTGCCGACTCTCTCGGCTTTGGTCAGAGCGCAACCTATGCTTCGGATATGATTCCAAGCCAAGTAGCTGAGCCTTCATTGCCGCTTTAGGTTTGCACTCCAACGGAAAACTAAGCTTCTTTTCACACAAAGAAAAAAGTGTGCATTTGTGTGTGTGTTTTTTTTTTTTTTTTTTTTGCATAATTCAGCAAAAAGCGGCGCCTCTATATTTTGTCATTTGTGCGTTCATTTGCCCGCAACTCTCTGGATTTTATAGATAGCACAACAACAATGTCAAATGCAACAAGAAAATAAAATACATACATACATATGTACACAAACATATGCATACTATATGCATGTATATGTGTGTACACAACTACTAGGGCCACCAATTCTTACGTTGTTTCTCATATTGCACGCTGTGTTTCAGTTTCGGTTTTTTTTCTAATCTTATCTTAAACTTGAGTCTATGCCGTTGGCGTTACTAACGCTCTCCTCACAAACTTAGATACACACACACACATTCACGTACATGCATATATGCAGCTAAGAATATATACCCACATCGAGCATTGACAAACAACGTTTCCAGTTCCAGTTTTTGGGGGCTTATAAGATGATCGTTAGTTACATATTTAAACGAATTTTAACGAATACTTCAACTCGGCTAAAACATATTGAAGGTGAATTTTAAGAACGGAAGAAACCCTGTTTAAAAACAAAATTGACTTTAACAACCAGCTCCTAAATGAATATGATTCCGAAAAACATTTTCCTTACCTATTTTGACCATCAATGAATTCTTAAACTAAGCCAATAGATATTGAAATATCATGTAGAGAATGCAGAAAGCATTCAAAACTAATAAAATAATAAAATCGGACAGTCGTTTTCAATACGATCCCACAAGATGAGTCAAATAAAAAGTCGTTTGGAGAAGTCAATGCTTATGTTTTATTTATTGACAAAAAACCACATCGTTGATGATTTAAATCAACGATTTCTCATGTTCGTCTGATTTTTCTCTACTAGACTATAACCTTTTCGAAATATTGTAAAAAAAATGCTCTAGAAGGACGTTAAAGCCATTCTAAAGCCTTGTTCCAGTAATCTAAAGGATATGCCGTCCAGTCTATGGCCTAAAACACTCGTTCGAAATCTTTCTTGATCGTGCAATACATGCTATTGAGTCGAGCTTTTGCCAAAATATTATAAATTTGTGTGCAAATTATTTGCTGGCTATCCGTAGGTAAAAAGATTTTGGCAAATATTATTAAAGTGTGAAGCGGCAGCAGCTCTGTATAATTTGATCGACATGTCATACTGAATGCGAATAATCCTCCAATGAGTTACTTCTAACGTTACTTCTATTCACAAGATAGTATTTATAATAAAATCGAACGTCGACTTAATATGCCAGTCTTCTGTTCTAAGTAGTTATGTGACGTTGTTATTCATCCCATAAATGTCGTCGTCGTCGTCAACCCTTACTTTGTTGCCGCGCTTGAAACCGGCGTTATAGCGACCATCGTTGCTGCCAGCAACCATAACACCAACTTAACATTCTGAAGTTGCGCTTGTGTGTGTATGTGTGTGTGTGTGTGTGCGTTTACAAGTGAGTGTGAGCGCTTATTTATAAACTACGCTCATTGTTTGTCCCACACGCGGCTCTGTTTGTGTGTGTGCGAGCGTGTGACTAAAACAGCCAGCCAGCTTGGCAGCCAGTAGAGTTGAGTTGGCGCGCTCCGAACTAGTTCTATGGTCTTTGGATACAGTTCCTTTTCTTCGTCTAGCGACTAGATCATTCAAACGGCTTCACAGACTAGTAATGAGGGGATGAAAGGATTATATACCTATGCAGTTCTATGCATAGGTTTAATTCTTCTATCCAATTCTCATCCTCTCTAGCCAAATATTATCTTTTGAAAGAATTCTTTAGTTGCCCGGAAGAGTTAACTATTTATTATTTGTTTTTAGTTGCATTGCATTACTTGTACATTTTGTAATCGCTCAATTCAATTAATTTCAAATAGAACATTCATGTTGAAAAACAAAAGTGCAAATAAAATAACTAAACGATGAACCAACGTTTTAAACTAAATAAAAGGAAATACTTACAATAAGTGAGACTACGACTTCAAAGAACTAACCTCCTTCGGAAAAGGAACTATTGAACTACATACGTAAATATATCTGGAAAGTGAATCAGATTTCCCAACTCTAGCAGTCAGACTGAGAGTTGGTCTGTCATTCAGTCACTCGCTAAGTTTGTAATTTAGTCGGCCACCTCCTGTGCCGCCCTGCAGAATTCGCCCTCTCTTTCTCTCGCTCCCTCAATCGTACTCTCTTTGTTCGACTCTCCTTGAATGCCGCTCAGACATGCGCAGTATCCATCGTTGTTGCTGGCGTCTCCGTTTCCACAGTGGGGTTGTTGTTGTAAACTCGGTTTCAAGCTTTAATTACGTCTCACAAACACACACACACACATATGTATATATATATATATATATATGAATGCAGAACAGGCGGCGGGCAAGCAAACAAACGAACTCATTCACGACAGCTGCGTATTGTTGTTGTTGTTCTTGTTCTTGTTGGAGCTCTGCTTTTGCTGCTGCTTTATATGCGGGCGTCGTGTCGCCAAGCAGTGATGGCGACTTAGGGCGCTTAGGGGGCGGCGGAGGGTGGGGCTACAACTACAACAGCCACACAGTTGGCCTGCGCGGTATTCCTATTTTTGTTTGCTGTTGTTGTTGCTTTTGCTGATGTTGTTGTTCTTGTTGTAATTGTTGCAGCAGTTCAAGCACTTCAACGGTACTTCTGAGCGCCAATCATTATTTGCTCGAATTCAGTCGAGCTTCGTACTTCGTTTCGTGCGCTGCGCTGCCGCCATTCGTGAAGTTGTAACTGTTGTTGTTGCAATCATCTTCGCCATCTAACCGCAGTTTCTCCTTCTAACTCGTTCCGCCTCCCCCATTCTTCGAATTACACTGTGGGAGCTGCCTCCCTAACAGAACCAACGGTTTCTCCTCGCTTTCATTCTTTTTTCTGTGTTTTTTGTTTGGCTCTTTGGAAAGGTGGCTGGTTGGCTGGCTTTGGCGCGGCCTCAAAACGTGAGTAGCAAGCAGTACATATGTATGTGTGCATTTGTGTATGTGTGTGTTTGTGTGTGTCATATCATGCGCTCGCACGCTAATCTCCAATTTGAGATTAGATATAAAGCAAGCAGTCAGCATTATTTTTGTTGTTATTGTTGCCCTCCTGGGCCTGCTTTTGCGAACAAATTTAACTTTTGGTTTCGACTGTTTTTGTTTTTTTATTTATTGAACTTACTGCTCAGGTGTTAAGCTTCAACTATGATGGCCAAACATATGGCAAGATTTTTGAATTGATATTCAGAAACGAACTCTCTCACTAAAGGCAGAAAAGTATGCTGGCTTTTCAGATAAAATTAACTTTGAGGGAAGAACAAGAAACAATCGAAGGGAAATACATAAGTGATTTTAAAATATGCTTATCTAAAGGAAAACAATAATTAAACAATTTGCAATCAGTAAAAGATTCTTCAGATTGCAAATAATCAACTAATGTATATTAGTCTATATCAAAAAAAAAAAAAAATGATTTTTATGGTTTTTAATGAGGTTTTCACTTATCGTAAATTTATATTTGAAACTGTTTTTAAATAATATATATTTATATGGTATAACTTATAAATATTTTCATAAGAATGAGTCACTTATGATCATTAGTTCTCTCAGTATATGTATCTATGTCCATCTGTCCTATGAAATACTTAAAATAGTAGAAATCCTTTGTGGCACTTTAAAAGGCCTTACTCATGTAAACAGTCTTCAAAAGATCAGGAGAATAACGATATATTCTTTAGCTTCGGCTTCGTTCAGACAGGCAAATAATTTGCATACAAGAAGTTTAGTGAAGCGGAAAACTGTATTATATGTATACTATATAGCATAGAATTATAATTAATTCAGATTTTAGTTGAAGTAACAAAATTTGCCAAATTTATGTGCAAATTATTTGCCTGTGTGACCCTAGTTTACAAGCTACATAAACAGTTTTCCAGATTTAACTTGAACTGAGCTCACAATGTACATATACATATGTATCTATGTACGTTATAAACTCATTTCTCAATTCGTATACGTTTATTGTTTTACTAACGATAAGCTTATCGCAAACTCGGGCCCAGCCCGTCCAACTGTAACTGTACTTCTGGGCTATGGCCAACCTGCAGTAAGTACGCACATTTATCGAGGATTTCGTAGAACTCGAAGCTGTCGTATACGTCAACGATGCCGACGAACCAACCACCAGCAGCAGCACCACCACCAGCGCCAGCACCACCCACACATATCCAAGAGGGGCAGGTGGTGCGGTAAGCGGGGCCACAAACGTAGTTTTAAAAGCGAGCGAGTGAGCAAACGCCCGACCGGCGAGACAAGACGAGACCAGACCAGAACCAGTGAGCGGGCCTGGTCGTTAGCTGCGTCGCGAGCTTATCACACACACACACACACACACAAACAGACGGGAGCGTATGTGTGTGTGTGTGTTTAGGTATATATCGTTATCAATAATCGGGGAGTCGTCTGCATTGCGCTTGAATCGTCTGTATTTGTGTGTGTGTCTGTGTGTGGAAAAGAGTTAAGCATTTTTTTTTTGTCAATTTTGTTTATTGTTAATTAAAGAATGGCGCGGCTAATATGTAGCTAGGTGAGTGGACTGAAGAAGGGTGCCCAGAAGGAGGGGGCTTTGGGGTTAGGGGTTTGTTGGTTGTGCGCGTCAAGTGCGCAACTCGGTTTCAGTTCTCAAAGCGTACGCAATGTTTGGACAATTACAGTCTCGTGGAATCAGTTTACTCACAGATACAAAGCGAGATAATAAAAAATCAGAATAGAGTTTCTGATAAAGAACGCCTCTAAGCTTACGAGCAGAGTAAAATAGTCAATTTGGAAGGGAAACATGTTTCAAATAATTGATTGAAATTTCAGAAGCAGAATGGAGGCAAGTGATCTGAAGAATCACTTAAACAAGAAAGTTTAAAAGAACGAAAATATGAGAACAAATCTAAGATTTAAGGGAAAATCCAGGAAATATAGTAAATGCGTAACTCTCTGGCGGAAAGAGGAATCTCGGTATCAAAATAAAAGAAGAAAAAAAGAAGGGCTTGGCTTACGATAAATGGCTAATGCCTAATCTTTAAGGGAAAGAGGGAGAGTAAGCAATCCCTAAAATAGAAGAGCTAATGAGACAAATAAATCGACACAGCGATCCAAGATCTCTCGTGCTCATAAGTTTTTCGAACTCTTTTATAAAGATTCCATTATATCCATTGGTATTTGTAGAAAGAGTGGTGCAGCTGCGCAATCAACTGAGAGATCTATTCATCTTCTAGCTAAATCCTTAAATAAAAGTCTCGGTATCAAAATAAAAGAAGAAAAAAAGAAGGGCTTGGCTTACGATAAATGGCTAATGCCTAATCTTTAAGGGAAAGAGGGAGAGTAAGCAATCCCTAAAATAGAAGAGCTAATGAGACAAATAAATCGACACAGCGATCCAAGATCTCTCGTGCTCATAAGTTTTTCGAACTCTTTTATAAAGATTCCATTATATCCATTGGTATTTGTAGAAAGAGTGGTGCAGCTGCGCAATCAACTCAGAGATCTATTCATCTTCTAGCTAAATCCTTAAATAAAAGTCACTTCCATAATTTTTAAAGTGTGGAAAAGTGGTGGACAGGTGAACCGCTCAGTTGGACCGCATACTTATCGCTTGCAGTGTGCTATGATTATTTAGGCGCTTATATGGTTTTTATCAGCGTTGTCGCTGCGCCGGTGACTTGAGCGGCCGCTGTGCGTCAACAATCGGGGCAAGCGACCAACAAAACCCGTTGGGAGCTTTGGCTGCGCACAGTCGCTGAAAACGCCGGACGTGTGAGCACGGCCAGATAGAAAGTGAGCGGCAAAAAGGATGCCACTATCAAATGCAGACTTACTAAGCCCCCTCTCTTTATCTCTTTCTCTATCTCTCTTTTCTCGTACAGCTTCAAGACGTCTTGCAAACGGCTGAAAATGGAGAAGACTCCCCGGTACACACAGCGGGAGCGCAATATGGTGCTCGGGTATGCGGCCCAGTACAAGGATGTGATTGAGAACAAACGCACGGATGCCGAATCGAATCGGAAAAAGGACGAGGTTTGGCTGCAAATAGCCAAGGATTTCAACTCCCATGTCTATCACCAGCGCAGTGCCAAACAGTTGCGTCAATTGTATAAGAATATGAAGCTGCTGCTGAAGAAGGATCTCTGTGGCGAGGATAAGGGTAATCGTTCCTTCATGGATCTGCTCAACACATTGTCGCAACAGGAATCTGTCGCCCAATATATAGCCGAACAAATGTCCCCCGATGGTGCTGGCGCCAGCGGAGGTGGCGGCAGCGCCTACGCTGTCGGCGGCTTGGCAGGCACCAACGGACGTCAGTCCCATGACTATGATGACTCAAAGGTAAGCGATCGATATCTAATGCGCAGATAGTTGTGCGATAACACTAAACCGTAATATTCACAAGCTCCATGCTCGCGCCTCTCTCTATCTCACTATACCACATTGCTCATTCTTTACACTTGAAAACAAAACAAGTGCTTAAGCAAAGAATTTATATCCAACAAAGTAGGTACATTAGGCTTGGAGTCCGATGCCTCCACTTATAAATCGTCTAGTTGATTCTAATATCTATATAAAGGAATATATTTCTCATGACTTTTGATAGAGTTATCCGATTTGTTTAAATCGTTGCAACATCTTTTCCCAATATCCAATTTCCCATGTTGTTATAAACAAACAAGCTTTTCAAAGAAAGAATTTCTAGACTTGATCGTTCATATGACAGTTGCACGAAGTCGTAATCCGATTTGATTGAAAGTTTATCAAATGAAAATCGTTCCAATATCTTTAAAAACAAAAAGGTATTTTGATAAAAAAAAACCTTCAAACTGATCGTTGCTACGACAGCTATATGATATAGTAGTCCCATAAGCTTTTCAGAAGAAATGAGTTTTTTTAAAACTAGTCTGTTTTACACACTCTTCTAAATCCTATTCCTATGGTACATTTATAATATAGTAATCCCAACGTTCAACTTGCTTCATACAAATACTTCTTTAAGCCTGATTGTTCATATACATATATATATATGATAAAGAATCTCGCTCCGACCTAAGCTTTTCAAAATCACTTGTTTCATCAAAAACCCTTCCAATATTCAATTCGATGACGATATGTTTGTTTAAAAATAAGCTTTTTCAAACAAATACTTTATTTAACCTGATAATTCCTACCTCAATAAATCAGGCCTCAAGAAAAATTTCCAAAAATTATATTGTTTTGTGTTCATTACTAGGATAGAGAAATCAAGTTTGAAGTCGATCGGTTGAACAATTCAGATTTTCAATGCAATCTTTAGAGCCCCCTTTCCCCCTTTTTTGTTTGATTTGTTCTTCAAAGTTAAATTTGCGAGCTAACTGATAATTTTGAATATGGCTCTTATATTCTTATCTGTTCAATCTGTTTTATAGCGAATAATTTGAAGCTTGATTGCTACTGATCAATATGATAAGACAGAAGTAATACAAGTATATCTGTCTCTGCAAGACCGGAAGCTCAACTTCATATTTCTATATTGAAATATTGCAGCAGACGTATCTTGATAACAATCCCAAAAAAGCAAACCAGACAAATGCTTGATTTGTCAACCATCACTACTCATAAGGAATATAGAAAGAAAAGCCGCGACAGACCCTCTTAGGAGAGAGTAGGCGAGAAATATTTCTTACAGAGAATTAGTTCTGTAAAGCTTTTAGTAATGTAGAGAGCCGAACTGCAGGAGTTGAGCAATGTTTGCGGCCGATATTAAAGAGATCAACATTAACAATGTTCCTTGGAGCTCTGCTTGTTGTACTAGGATGGGAATAAAATTGAGAATAGGGCCAATAATAAAAAAAGGAGCAAATAAGCTATTTTCGCCTGCGACAAATGAAGGTATACCTTCATTGTTCCTTTCAAAAAACCTTTATGGTCGGGACTTTTTTTGTATAAACCCTACTGTGTTCGTACTATCAATTATGTATCTTCTTTGGCATTTTTGGGACCCACAGATGATCTAAAAACACCTTCTAAGTGATATCGTTACAGCTATTTTATATGGAGATCTGACATACTATATTATCTCTGTGAGATTCGATTTAAAGATTAGAAGAAGGAAGCAGAACAAGACAGGCGCACAGATTTAAGGATGAACAGATGACATCTTGATTCCGATTCGAAAATGTTCACGCCATGCTGATTATTTATTTATCTATAAATTGTGGTCCTAGAGATCTTCTGGGTGAAGAGCATACTCGTACAAATCATTCGGTTAGGCAGTTTCTTTAGGAAGGAACGAATAGAGGACTCAGCGACACAGACTGACAGATTTTTTTGATCCCTCCATTTACAGATGTACGATGCCTTGGAAGATGAAGTTGTGTTGGTGAAGTCGGAGACCTTTAGCGATCATGAGCAAAGCGACAATGGCATGGATTGTGGAGATGATGATGATGACGACGATTGCCTCAGCTCGAAAGCGCCCGAAGTGTGCCTCGAGGTGGACGAGGATGTGCTTTATGCCACAGACCTGCGTCAGCTGCAGCAACAGAATTCAAGCCAATCGGGCAACAACATGAATGCCAACAGCCTAGGCCCCACACAAAATGGCTGCGAATCGAGTAGTGGTGTTGGTGGGAACAGTAACAACAATGGCAGTGCCACCATTGGTCCGCGTGCTGCCAGCTCTCCAGTGTGCTCCACAAAGACTTCGGTGTCCTCCACAGGTAGCTATTTGTCGGGTGCAGCGCCGAAGCCTGAGGTCACAATCCCGAACATACGTGTTGGGGCATTTGCCAATATTAACAATGTGCAACAGAATGGGAATGCCAAAAACAACAATAACAGCGTTAGTGGCGGCGTTGGAGCCACCTCGGCTCAGCCGGCGCTCAGTCCGAGCGCCCATTCCAACGGAGCGGTCAGTGCGAATGGCAATGGCAATGGGAGCGGCCTAAATAGCCGTTTCTTGCCACCAACGGCGGAGCAAGTGCAGCAACATTTGCTGCTCAATGGCCTAGGTCTGTCTGCCGTCCATCCGCCACACCACACCCTGCAATCGGCCATCAATGCAGCGACCAGTGGAGCGAACAGTGCGCGCCTGACAGCGTCAACGCTGCAACTGCCACGCCTACAACGTGGTGGTGGTGGACACACGAACGCCTCATCGACCGCTGCCACAGTGAATGGCTTGCCACTGATACTCAATGGACATCAGGGGAACAAGGAGCGGGAGCCGAAAACACACTCCAATGGAAATGCTGGAAACTACAGTGGTTTCAATGGCAATGCGAACATCAGCGGCAACACCAGTGGCGGTCCAGGCAGCGGGAACAGCACCCGAGGTCAGCACAATGAGTACATGATGACGTTGTCCATCGAGAAGCGGAAGCGTGAGATTGAGCTGCTCAATGCACAAATCGAGTATTGGCAGACGCTCACTAAGAAGTTGGACGGGCAGGCTGGACATTTTCCAACACCTTCATGTGCGTGTCACTTTCCCGGTAGTGCCGGATCCGGTGGCACTGGTGTCTTGCAAACGCAGGCGAGTGGCAGCTAGTCCGAAGCGGATGATGACGAGGAGGGGGACGGCGACGGCGCGGACGTGGACGTGGATGAGGACGACGATAATGATGACGATGATGATGACATGGATTTTGATGAAGTGGACTTTCATGTCAATGTTGATGAAGATGACGAAGATCAGAGCGAGGTTGCGGACAGTGAGGATGATGGTGGCAATGGGAGCTATAGCAGCGTTGTTATCTCCATCGCGGATATGAAGAAAGTTGCTGTCACGGACCTCACGCTAGACGAGGATGAGTCACAAGATGCCTTGGCCAGGGATGTGAGCGTGGTCGGTGGTCTGCTGCCGCCCGATATTGAATCTGCGAATATCTCTGCCTTATCGCCGCCGCCATTAAAGCATCCCAGGCGCCATATATCGCTGCTTCAGCCCCCAGCAGAGGCGTCGGCGTTGCTTTTAAAACTTTATCAAGCGCAGCCGGTTCAGCAGCAGCAGCAGCAACAACATCAAAAAAAGGAGCTACAACCGTCACAACTTCAGCAAACAACAACAACAACAACAACAAAAACACAAACGTGAGGTTAGGCCCAGTTAGTCTTAATGGTAGCTAGTCTAGTATTTTTTTTAGAATATATTTCGTATATTTATACATAAGCGTAACACATGTTGGTTTCCACACATCCTCAGCTCGCGCCCTCACTTGCCCGCCCAGCCATAAAAAATTTGTTTTTTGTTTTTTTTTTTTCGATATATTATTGTTATTGTAAGTTTTACACCAATTTAGTATTTATTTATGCTTAGTTTGTTTGTGCCAAAAAACAAAAACAACATATCTATATATTTTCTTCGTAATTATATAGTTTTTAAAACAAACCATTAATTGGAAAAGGACCAAAATGCTTAATGTGCCCATAAACAAAATGCTTGCCAAATTTAATTTTAAGCACATATTTATTATCATTATTTGTTTCATATTTTTGTGTTACATATACATACAAATAATTTGTTTTTAAACTTCATATGTGTTGCGGAAGCATCAAGGTTTATTATTATTATTATTTTTATTTTTTCAATGCAAAGAGAAGCTGCAAACCAAAAACATATAATTTTTATTTTGCCCAATTGCAAGTCATTTGTCATTGTAAATTTACCTTAAATTAGTTTTCATCTGTAAGTAGCGGAATGAAGAGAAAACGATGATAACATAAACTGTACAAATGTGGTTCCTAATCTAGTCCTAAAAACTTGTTTCAAAACAAAACGAAATTGTTATGCATATACGTACTGCTTACTTACCTACATACATACATACACATATAGCCCATCTGATTGATGTATTTTTGTATATGAAAACAACCCAGCCCAGTCAAACCCACAATCTCATCCACACCCACTTCCGATTTGATCCCATCCCATCCCGTCAATTCAAATGTGCCACGCGAGTCACATCCAAAGAAATGTAGCTAATTACTGTACTTATAAACTCTGAAGCCCGAATTTCTTCGTTGCTTCAGATGTGTCTGTACAAAAAAAGGAGAAAAAAATACAATTTACTAGTCGTCGCTGCATAACGTATTTTTTATTAGTCTAGCATTAACGTAAATGCATATTGCAAAAAATAGCTATAAATTGCATACAAATATGACGGTACATGTAAAATAAAGAGAAAGCCTAATGTAACCACAATTTACAATAATTTGTACGATTTTTGTAAAATAAAAAACAAAACACGAATAAATATTTAATTTATTAAACGACAAGGACCTTTTGATTTTAAATTATAATTTCAAGATTCGCGCTTCATAATATTTGGCGTTGCGCAGCACTGCTGATTATTTTAGTGCTGCCACCTCATGGTAAATTTCATGTTTACTTAATAAAGCCTGGCGTTATGCAGCGCCCCGAAGAACAGCTGTCAGATTGGAGTGCTGCCAGCTTGTTGCGAATTAATAGTTCAGTTGGGGAAGTGCGGTCGCAGAGAACCTGTGATGGCGTCACTTAATTTGTGCCGCACAAATTTAATAATTATATTTAATTTTTAAGTGGCCGACACTTTTGTTGACCATACAAATAAATATATTGTGAAGTAGTGCTTGTCAACGCTGCCCCGCACGCGCATGTGTACAAGCCCCGCTGCGCTCTCTCACTCGCACTCGGCTGTTTTTGCCAGCTGCTGCGATTGCAAATTTCATTACTCATCATCCGCTTTGTATATGCATGCAGTCATCGAAAGTTTGAGCTTGTGATTTTTTGCGGTCGTGCCAAGTTATTTATTTACATATTTTGTTTATGTGTGGGAATCGTTGTGGGAGCAGCAGCAGCAGCAACAATAGCAACAGCCAGCGACACTCTTGGGAGTGTAGTTAACTGTAAATTTTGGTGTGCCTGTCTCTGAGGAAAACAGAGTGCCAATTTACAAATTGTGGAAACCGGAGTAGGAGGATAAGTTCCCAGCAGCAGCAGTTCGTGTACACTTTTACTAAATTCAAGCGATATCAAAGACGTTGCAGCTTGCTGCCAGAAGTAGCGACGCCGGACAAAATCGGCTTATATACACAGGTACACAAAAAGCGTAAGGCGTGCGCTTTATTGCGCGTGGGATTCCCTCAGGAAAACAAACCCAAAAAGAGTAGTCAGTTGTCAGCTGTTAGTTGAACACTCGATGCCCGGTTTCCACCTCAATGAAATGGGTGAAATGGTCTTGGACGCCATCGACGACATTGGCGTGGTCGATGTCTATGATCTGGCCTCTGATATTGGCAAGGAATATGAACGCATTATGGATCGCTATGGCACAGATTCGGTGAGCGGTCTGATGCCAAAAATAATAAATACGCTCGAGTTGCTCGAGGCACTGGCCACAAAGAACGAGCGTGAGAATGCCACAATACAGGAGCTACGGGATAAGATTGCGCAACTAGAAAGCGAAAAGCTGGAGAAGGCAGAGTTTCGGCGACGATTCGAGAAGGAGCTGGAGCTCATCGAGGAGCAATGGCGCAGCGAGACAAATGAGTTAGTCGATTTGGTCTCCTCGCTGCAGGACGAGAACAAGCGTCTGGTGAAACAAACACAGGATCTGCAGTCATCGTCGGCACAAAGCTCAGGCCTTGGTGCCAGTCTCACGGAGAGCATTATTAGCATGACGAATAATGAGCTGCATAGTGCATTGTCCGATACGCAGGTGCTCCAGCGTCTGAAGGAGCAGATCTATAAGCAGCGGGATGAGCTGAAACAGCGCGAGCGTGAACTGCAGGATAAATATAGCGAGCTGGATCATGTAAGCCTCAAGTCTAACTATCCAAACAATTGTTTATCTTTATTGATTCCCTTGATCCACCTTCCAGCTCAATATTCAGGCGGAACGTTTGAAGGCCTCGGAACGCGACACGAGGCGACGGCACAAGCTGATGCAGGCGCAGGTGAAGACACTGTGCGAAGAGCGCGCCGATTTTCTGGCTCAGCTACAGGATCAGTGCCGTGAGATTAACTCGCTGCGCAAGCGTCTGGGCCTGGCCGAGAAGGAAAACGAGGATCTGGTACAATCATATGACGATGACCAGAACGATCCGAATCGGCCGCGCTACACAACGCGTGAGCTCAAAGAGCTGATTAGGGAACGCGATGAGCTGCTCACAACCATTTACAACTTGAACGATCAGCTGGCTGAGCTGAAGCCGCCAAACAAAAAACGCACACGCCACATTTCCAGCTCCGATGACAGCGATGACGACGATGCTGATGACGGACATGGCGCCGACGAGGATGATGAGGAGGATAACGGCGTTGAGGCGGATGTGGGCGACGATGCGGCAGCAGCAGGCGAAACGTACGTTGCATTTTTAACTTCTATATTATGCCTGATAAGATTCTACGACTATCAATAGCTTTGCGTTCAGGCAATGCAAAATGTAGTTCCAAATGTGATTGAGGGGGGGAAGCACTTTTAATTTCGAAGGCGAGGAATGCACTTTAGGAAACTCCTTCGCCACTTGCTCGTCAATAGAGTATAATAGCAAATTACAGATTTTTTAAGGACGTCAGTTTTTGCACTGATACAAGCAATCTTTATCAAACTGAACCTTGCTTAGAGGGTCTGGATGAATGCTAAATAAGCGCAACATGTTGGAATCAGTTTAGCTAAAAGGTTTCTTGAATTTTGAAAAAACCACCAGGCTCGTAACACCAAAAAGGAGATTTTTTTGCAATATAATTAAGTGGTTAGTCAGTTCCCAATCAAATTTATTTTGGTCTGGTAGTATAGTTCGTGATTCCTTATCTTTCGAATGAGATTTTTGCCTTATATAGGCTATGTGTCAACACATCCAGAAATATGCCACTGAGGGGCACATCTTGGTGTAAATTTCGAGTTTTGTAAAGTGTTGTACATCTTAAAAAATATAATTCCTAAATTCTTTTTTTTTAGGGGATTTTGTTCAGTTGTGGGGCTTATCTCAAAATATAATATAGCTTTGTTAGAGCAATTGCTTCAAATTACATCATTTTTAAATGGATAGTCAGTTTTCTTTTACAATAGTATTGTTTTCTGCCATCAATATTATTTATTTCTATAAATTTTAGAAAACATTGAATAATTTGTTTTCTTACAGTCCGCCTGGTCATGATGCGCCGGTGCAGGGACCGTTGCCGTACGAACCAGACGATGCGCCCTGGAAGAAGAGCTCCGAGTCGGGCATACGTAAATTGTGAGTGTGTGTGCGAAGACGTATCTTCAAAACTATCCTACTATAGTACATATATTTATACAAATATTTCCTGCAGCTTTCGCAAGCTCTTCTCGGATCCGGATGGTAACAATTCATTCCCAAAACGTTCCTTGGCCACGCTCTCCAAAATGGCGCTTTCGGCCACGCCGGGCAGCGGCGATACAAAATAGAGCGTTCGCTCCTCACGTACCTCTCGGTTCAATTAACATGAAGTGCATTTGATTGATTTTGTGGTATGATTTTAGATGACCTGTGTTTTATCTATTATTTCGTCTATTAGGGATTAAGGCTTCGAATGTCATCTCTGTTCCGCACTCTCCCGCACCCCCTGTACCATATTTGTTTCCATCCTGTCTATTTCCCAGTTTGTTACTTAACTCTTTATTAAGCTGTAAATATTTCACTAATTTAATTGCTACTAAGTTGTTATATTTATTATAATTACTATTTTTTTATACAAGTATATGTATTTATGTGCTCACAATTTAATATAAGTACGTCGACTCTATTCCGCTTTTTTGCCTTCTACTTAAATTCTATGAGGAAGAAAGGAAAAACTTGCACTTGCAACAAAACAAAACAAAACAAACAATACGGACTTAGACTATTTTACATTAAATAGAAACGAAGAAGAGGGAATATGACCAAACCAATTAGGCTTGACTAGCAAGCGCCAAAGTTATTTGAAGTGAGATGCGTGCATCCCCATATTAGATATCCATAAACATACCCTATACATATGGAAATGTTCCAAAGAACGAAACGTGCAAAAACTGGCCAAAGTGCCGTTTAGATCGGAACGAGTGAGTTTTATGAATTTAGATTACCAAAACAAATATATGAAAGAATATAATATTAAAACCGAAAAATGTCTGTAAGCATCTTATAAGATAAAGCCAATGAGGTGCGAATTTGTAAATGCTTGAAATTTTATTGTTGTGGAACATTTTAGACCACACAACCTTACAAAGAACAACAAAAACCGGCGTTTCAATTGTGAAATCACTTTTATGTGCAAACTGCGAATTAAAAGATATAAACCATTGGCAATATTTTGCTGAACATATAGCCCGATCTGATGTTCAATCTGGAATGTGCAATTAACGCTTTACACCCCAAATTTTAGTTAGTTTATTAATCTCGAATATTAAGGACTTATTCAAGTTCTAATTGAGATTCTCCAATTTATACAAAGTCAGTCATTTCAGGCCAATGATTAAAGGAATTTTTTTAGATGAGCTCACTCAACTTGTGAAATTGCCAAATCGAAAGCGATCAAATTTTTCTAAATTCAGAAACGAATTATTTAGAATTGTTTGAGAAATCAGGAAATACCGAAAAAGAACTTTTTAAATTGAAACATAAGTCCTTCATATTAAGTTCAAATACGTTTTGATGGTTTTCCTTTCTCTTTTTTAGAAAATTTCAATACATTTTTAAAAAGTATACTATTTTTCTAGTACTTGGGGTATAAAGCGTTACCGCTAAATATTTTTGACTTGCCACATGTTTAACACAATAAGTAGAATTACCAAAATGTTAACATGCAACAATAACTTAAACTAAATCGGATGTTCTCTCTCTCTCTCTATCTATCTCTCTAAGACACACACACAGTCTATCTCTCTCTAGTGCTTAATGCCTTTATAGCAGTTGCCCCTAAGCGGCCTTATAAATAAATAAATTAGCGAAAATACGTGCAAAATATCAAACACAACCAAATAGCGAATGTTTAGCCTTAGCGCATTGTTTGTTAAATAAATTATTAAAGAATTATTAGAAATTTCAATTGCAAACAAAAAAGAAGAGGAGAAATAGAAATGATGACAAATATAGTATAATCGGTAAATCGAATTAACTTTAAAGTGTTTTAGCCGCAAGTTTTAAACAAACCAAAAATTGTTGTTAAACTAAATAACTGAAGCATATTTTCATTTGCGCAATGCAGAAAAAAAACAACAAAGAACAGCAAAGGAGAGCAAATTGTTGGTAGTTGCAGTTTACGAGTTTTTAAAATAAACATATTGATAATAATAAGAAGATGCAAGCCAAACAACAAACTAATTTATTTACGTGCGAACACAACTTTCTATGAACATATTTGTATTTATTTAAACAATTTTGCGGTTGAGAAGAGAGGTCCCAAATAAAGTTTAAAGAGTCACAGATTCGCTGAAAATTTTGTTTGAACCAGATAGTACTAGAGATAATATCTGCTATCTTCATAATATCTGCTCATTCGTTTTTAGAATGATTTCGAATGCAAATTGAATTATAAAAAAATAGAAGAGTGAACAGATTCTATAACAGTAACTGCTCATTTGTTTTTAGACTGCTTTTCCGTGTAAACAGATAGAAGGCTCCCACGTCAGCTTCAAATCGATCTATCTAAAACCACTTTAAAACGCATAGTTTAATAAAATTTTACAGACGAAAACCCTCTTAAAAAAGTTCTGAATTCAAGTTTAGCGAAAGTGTTTGCCAGAAATTGAAGAGTGAACGCTTCTATCCAAGTATCTCTCCATCAGTTTTAGATCGATTGAAATGGCTGACTACTGAACGAATACTTAAACAGCAAGGTTTTTTCAACCTCACTATTGTTATTATTTTTTGAGGAGGACTTACAGATAATATAAGCATTTCATTCAACACCGTTTAGCAACAAAATAACGTTTAGATTTTACAAAATTACCCCGTTTTATCGCACAAAATATCTCAGTCTGGCTCACACGGTTTCGATAAACCTCATGTTTGTAAAATGTTTATCAAAGAGTTTGATTTCTTCGCTAAACATTTGGTGTCATAAATTGTCGTGAGAACTGGGCTTAAAGCGCCTTTACATATCAGATTCGATTGTGAATGTATTTCAATAGCAATGTTTTGGTTCGGAATTCAGTGAAAGCGATTTGCAAAAGCAACGAAAAATGTGCCAAAGACTCCAGCAGCATTAAACTAAAAACTCGATTTAATTTAAGTTTTAATTTCCTTACCTAAATCATTTCTCAAACATTGCTAAGCACAAGCAACAATGCTGACAACTCTGGTCGTCGTCATGTTTAATAACTTTTAACTAACTCACTAATTTGCTTTTATTTACAAAAAGTTTGCTTTTTAAACAAAACAACTGACATTGAAACTTGAAAAAGAAAACAAAAACAAAAAACCACAACAGTATGTATAAATAAATGAAAAAAGAACTGGCATGCGAAACATACACATTTGTGTGAAGTATTAAAGCTATTGATTTATACAAAAATATAAAATATATATATATATATATATATATATATATATATACATACTATATACAATTATTGGATTGCATTTGAGAGCAGGCTGAGTTCAAAGAGAATATTGTATGTAGAATCGTGGAATGCAATGAGAAAACAACAACAAGGAGAAGATAAAGATGAACAATGTTAACTAAGTTTATATAAACATACACATGCGAGTCTATATATATATATTACTAAAAGTTATATATACTATACATACATATACATATATTAACCGAAAAACCGATCAATAAAAATATACATGCATATTATATATACGTATACATAGTACATGAAAGTTAGAGAGCAAAAGCTAATGAACAATATCATAAAGTAAACAATTATACACACATAAATATACATACATACCTACGATTTATGCATTAGACGAATGCGATCAATAAAACTTATGGCAACAACAAAGACCTGTTCATTTGACTTCCTTATTTATTAACTTTGGTTGGACATTACAGAACTATTCAAAGCGGATTTCAGATATCTAGTATTTTGGAAATAGTGTGCCCGCAGGATGGCAACATGGCTAGACGAATCCATTCAAAGATGTTAATCTGTCGGTTTGTCCGTCTGTATGAACACTGAGAACTTTTAAAGCATATCAGCGAGGGGCACAAAACTTGGCATATCAACTTTTCATACCCATATGCAGATCAAGTTTATTGAAAACCATATATAGCTTCATTATTTTATATAGCTGCATTCATTTGAAGTGTTTTTATGCATCTCTTGTTACATAGATTCATGCAGTGGCATTGCAATCAAATCTTTTTGGATGTGTATTTGATTCTTGAGGTACTTTCAATACACAATGAATGCATTTATTACTTACGGTAGTCGAGTGAATGGATTCGAAAGATTAAATGCATTTATTTCTAGCTAGATTCAATTGATTCAACGAAAAAGCATATGAGTTATGCTTCTGAATGGTATGATTTGGTTGTTAAAGCTGTTCTCAAGACACAATGAATGCATTCAGAGAATTGCATGATTTGCTTGTTAAAGCTGTTTTGAATGCACAATGAATGCATTCAGAGAATTGCATGATTTGGTTGTTAAAGCTGTTCTGAATATACAATGACTGCATTCAGAGAATGGTATGATTTGGTTGTTAAAGCTGTTCTCAATACACAATGAATGCATTCAGAGAACGGTATGATTTGGTTGTTAACGCTGTTCTCAATACACAATGAATGCATTCAGAGAATGGTATGATTTGGTAGGATTGTTAAAGCTGTGCTGAATACACAATGACTGCATTCAGAGAATGGTATGATTTGGTTGTTAAAGCTGTTCTCAATACACAATGAATGCATTCAGAGAACGGTATGATTTGGTTGTTAACGCTGTTCTCAATACACAATGAATGCATTCAGAGAATGGTATGATTTGGTTGTTAACGCTGTTCTCAATACACAATGAATGCATTCAGAGAATGGTATGATTTGGTAGGATTGTTAAAGCTGTGCTGAATACACAATGAATGCATTCAGAGAATGGTATGATTTGGTTGTTAAAGCTGTTCTGAATATACAATGACTGCATTCAGAGAATGGTATGATTTGGTAGGAATTCGCAATGAATGCATTCAGAGAGCTTGCACTCAAAAGCTCTGACCTTCCACCGACAGTTAGGGCTGCCACAACATGGTAGTTGTTGCAAATGATGCTTTTGGTCCTTGCTGCCTGCGAGCTTTCATGTTACCGTAAACTTTCGTCACATTGCGTTGATACGAAGCCGCATCAGCGGCGTCGCTCACGAGCCGTGCCGAAGGATGCGAACAGCAGCCTCCCCATTACCACCGTCAATTAAATCTCAGCGTCGTCCTCCTCATCATCATCATCATAATCATCATCATATCCTGCGAGCTTGCTAGAATGTGCTGTGCTCCTGTTCAGTCGGCTGAGTTTGAGGCGTATCTAGGGCGTGGTGGTTGGTTGTAAGCGGCAAGGCATGACCTTGACTTCAGCACACGGGGCTCCGCTGCACGCGCTACACATAGTGTCTGTGTGTGTGTGTGTGTGTTTATGAGCGCATGTGTGTGTGTGTGTGAGTATTTTGTCTGGATGCTGCGCACATTTTGCCACACCTTCTGCTGAATCGAGTAGTCGGTGGGCGAGTCAAGGACTACTTATTTGTAACGGGCCATTGGATGAATGTGCGAGCGGGACGGCTGTATGCATACACAAACACACATTAACGGTCCGCCTCCCCTTTGCTGTTGTTGTTGTTATTGTTGCTGTTGTTGTTGTTGGACACATCATCCCCACTTTTGCAAATTCCAATTAGGCAATTAAAAATCTGCCGTTGCTCGGTCTGTAGAGGCGGGCATCGGGGGGCCGGCCACGTGCGACGCTACCATGACGACCATGTTCTCAGCATTTTAATTAAGAAGATGTTAGCGTAATAGGATAGAAGAAGATGCGCTGCAAAAAGCGTAGGTCGAAATCTGCAGCAGCTAATGAGCAAGGCGTCGGCCATTGGATTTCCAACAGCTCGTTGCGGTCTCTGTTGGCCCAGGGGGGGTGGGAGAGGGGTGCAACATTTTCCACTAATTGGCTGTTGTGGGTGCTGCTTGGTGGTGGGGTGGAGTGGGGTGGGCTGAGGGCAATGTGTTGCTGCTAATTGGCAACGCGTGTTAATTAAAACCACTTTTATTGAGCCGTTCTTGTAATTGTTGTTGCAGTTGCAATTTCTGTTGCAGTTGCTGTGCTGCCCCTTAAGCTTGTGGCTGCCAATGCTTTGCAAAACGAAACCGTTCGCCACGTCCGCGTTGGTGGCACAACCAACGACGAAGGCGCTATCATAGTCATCGTCATCGTTGTCGTCGTCGTCATCTTCGTCGTTAGTCTCTCACGATTTCAGGGGCCTTCAGTCAGTCGATTTTCGAACAGGCGCCCAGAGCTGCTTAGTTGGTGTCTGCTCCGCACAGTCGGAAGAACATTTTCTAGCGTT